AAGTGTTTGAGTAGCATGTGCATTGTGCAAAGTTCTTTTAGCAAACTTAATCACTGGTGATCCACTTGATTACGCTGGTTACTGAAACGGTTTGTTTCAGTAACAAAATGTTGGAACATCGAAGCTACGATTTTTCTTTTTTCCTTATTTCACACCTTTTAGGCAGAATTCTCACGACACTTTTAACACAAACGTGTATCAGTAACATATGTTTAAGAAAATGTACACATTTGCGAACAAATAGTTCAGAAGACAACAGAATCGTCGATTTAATTCCTCACTTAAGTTACCACGAGGTGTTAACTTTAATTTGAATTTTGCTTTTAATGGTATAAGTTTGAAGAAAAACAGTGCAGTATGAAACTCGCAATCCTTGATTTTCGAGCATCTGGTAGGTCAAAAATTCAACGGTCGAAGTTAGGACCGCGTGGTTACAGAAACCGTAAACGGTATTTCGAAAAACAGTTAAGATCTGCACTTTTAACCCAAACCGTTTTGAGTGGATCACCAGTGTTAATGATATAGGTAATAAAATTTTGGCTAATAGAAAGTGTTCATATTGAGAGATGTTTAGATTACAGACAGTTTCAGGTACAGGTGCACGTACAGTGAAAAATGTCTCGTCAGGACAACACTGTTACAAGCCAAAAGTGTTTGAAGTAGCATTATGTTCATATTGAGAGGTTTCTTTAACAAGAGAGTCAATGGCAGGTTACAAAATTGAATTGGGCCTGAGAGAAAATGTTTATATTGAGAGGTGTTCAGAATACAGAGGGTTTTGGATAAACAGTTAAACCTGTCTTTGTGAACACCTCTCTCTAGCAAACACCTTTTTTTAGTGAACACCCTTCTCAGCACATACTCAACTGACTTGTATAAAATTGCTTCTGTAGGGAACACCTACCTGCATTGAACACATTTTTGTGGCTCTGTGGATGTTCACTGCACACATGTTTTACAGTAGTTTGATTTCGCCTTTCTAAAAGTCAGCTTCATATGCAAGCCTATAGTATATTACCAGGCTATGAGCCTTTGGGCAAATTGGTCTGCTGGTTTGTATTAAAAACATAATTGAGGATTTTGGTATTCCATTGAGGAATGCCAAGTGAATAATTGATTGATAGCAGCAGAGTGTACAGTAAAACCTGTATATCTGAACACTTTATCTGAATACCTCTCAATGTGAACACTTTGTGGTCCTAGTTTTTGATCTGCCTTGAAAAACCCTAGTCTCTAAATGTGACCACCTGCTAATCCTAACACTTTATGCTGGTTCTAGAAGTGTTTTCATTAGACAGGTTTTACTAACTGTATTTTGATGAGAGAACTCCCCAATGTAGCTAGATAGAATGTTGTCTAAGGGAAGGACCAATTGATCTTAGGGGAAGGGGGGCTAATTCTTTACAGAAAATAATTCTTTGCATGCATAAGTATATTGTTCAGTTAAGTAAGTAAGTGGTGTAGCAATGAAAACTTCAAAATACATTTGGATGAGATAACAGAAAAATTCTAATAAGATCGAGGGATGTTTTAAACAATTTTGTCTTTAAGTGGTGAAGTGCACAAGGGGGTCACACTGACACAAATCAGGGCTGAGTTTTTTTTATAGAAAAAACATCTGAGATGTGATTGGATCTCCAATATATACAGAATTAGGTCAGTGGCGTAACCAGGATTTTGATAGATGGTCACGAGGCTGAATACTGATCAAAACTAGGGGATTTGGGGCGTGCCGAACCATGTCTGGTTACGCGCCTGCATGTTGATTTTTTAGTTGATGTTACTGGTTTCCCTAATATGTAATGGTCCATCCCTTTGAACTGGACCAGGTCAGCTATTTTATTGTGTTAGCATTGATTTCCCTGAATGAATCAAAGCATCTGTTAATTCAATTAGAATGAAACATCAACAGAGGCTGCTGCAAGAGTCAAATCACCCAAACCTCTTTTTTACTTGTATAATTGAGCCAGGTCACAGGAAAAGGGGTCTTATCATAGATTTTTTCAATATTCTAATTTTTTGTTTATCTTAGAAAGCACAAAGAGACCTTTCAAATGAGCCATGGCTTATGCCTTAACAATTTTTCCTTGCATATAGAGACCAAAAAGTCGGATTTTTCTTGGAGGTTTTCCAATGGCCAGGTTCATATTTTAACACATTATACATTTAGAAATTTGTAATATACTGGGTGGTTTAGAGCTAAAGTCTGTATCTTTATGCAAATTAAATTTTGGTCCATTTTTGCAGATGGGATATCTAGAAACTGATTCACTAATAGGTCAGAAAATGGAGAAAAAATAGTGTTTCTCAAAATTCAATACTCAACTGAAATCCTAATTTTGAGGAAGAAAGGGGTATCAGAGTATATACGTACATACATGTATAATGGTTACATCCAGCTACTGCTCAATGCAGCCCCTCGGGAACATAAATTTATCCCTAGGGATATGATAAAATTATATTTATTTCATACTAAGTAGTTTTATATGTAAATAACATGCAGGAATATGATTGATATCTTAGTGAGCTCATCAGATCTACAACATCACAAATTCAGAGAGTAGATAATGAGCCAGGGGACTTGACTATAAACCCTCATAAGCTCCTAAGTATAGAATAAATCAGTTATTAAATGCTCGATTTTAGATACAGGGTATATCCCTCGGTAAATACAATACATCAACCCTCTGTCCCTACTTCCCTCGGGTAGATATATTGTATTTCCCTCAGATATACCCTGGATCAAAAACTTCCCATTAAATAACCTCTATATCCAAAACCTCCCACTATAACCCAATAAACCCATATATGTATATCCAGCTACTGCTCTTTGTCTTAGACTTCATGAATTTACAGTCATTGGAATAACACTTCTGATTTATGACTTCATTTATCAAATCAACAGAGATCAAGCAAGGTCTTCTTGTTGATACTTATATGCAAGCTGCCAGTCAGAAAACTTAACTGTATGTCTGCACAAAATCATTTCTCTGCTGACCAAAACATCCATGACCAGAGACATAGCCAGGATAGCAAATACATGTACTTTTAGTTAAGTGGACGGTAACCTAAATAGGCTTGGCAAAACCTCACCCTTAGAGGATTTTTACCATGGGTCATTGGTGCAACAGTTTCAGTCAAAAGGACATGTAAAAATGTTTATGGTAACAAATGGAAGGTGGTGACATTTTGCATGTTTGTTAATGCCTTGTATGTTTTTGAGATCGAAGATGAACATCCAAATGCACTTTTGTATTCCATGGATCCATTTCAAAAGGAAATTTACTGTTCGTTTATGTGTTTATGGTAACAAATGGAAGGTAGTGACATTTTGCGTGTTAATGCCTTGTTTGTTTTTAAGATGAAGAATATCCAAATGCTTTGTGTTCCATGGATCCATTTCAAAATGAAATTAACTGTTATTTTATGTGTTTATGGTAACAAATGGCAGGTAGTGACATTTTGCATGTTTGTTAATGCCTTGTATGTTTTGAGATGATGAACATCCAAATGCACTTTTGTGTTCCATCGATCCATTTCAAAAGGAAATTGACTGTTAGTTTATATGAATTTTATATATCAAACAGTATGATATCACTCCGAAACTATGATTACAAACATATATCTCAAGTAGACCGCACTCAAAATTCAAATATAATGCTGCATATTTATTTTACTGGTAGCAATGAAAGAAGGTTTTTGTTTAGTGCTTGACCTCATGGGTATAGTGCATGTATATTCAGTTAAAACATGCTTAAGGTAAATCTGTATGTTGAGAATTTTTACGACCTTACTTGATTATAATTGCCGATAATTAATAACATGGGTATAATATTTTTCACATTTTTATGTAGATATTTATATATTATTAGAGGAAAAACATACACATGTCTAAAATACTTCATGTTTTAAAAATTACATTTGTAATTTTATTCTGAAAAATTCAGAAAATCTAGACATACGGATCCACTTTAAGTGTAACCACGTTAAGTGTACGTATATATAAAAGTGTTTCATGTAAATGTTCTTTAGTCAGTGTACTTCGAATTGAGCTGTAAACATCCTCCAAAAGCTAAGGCCATCAATGTAATCTTGTGCTGTTTGAAAAATCAATAGTGATCTGGCATCAGGACACATATAGCGACTGTAAAACTCAGCTAATATTTATATCTCGTGAATTCTAATCTGCGAGAATATGGTCCAGTAATTCTCGATCGTGATTATCGCAGAGTGAGATATTAATTTCACATTCAAGGATCATTTATACTTGAAATTGTTCTGATCTTTACTGTTATCAAATCAGGCTGAAAAAGTTGTAATATATCAAACATTTAACTAGAATAGACAATTAGTTATTTGTATATTAAGAGGCTAAGAGCATCATGATAAACCATGTCATCTCATTTTAGACTATTTTTTCTGAGATATGATACTATTAGCATCAGAATGTAGTGTTCTCCCCAGGATTTTTTCTCAAGTAGGTGCAAAATTATCATTTTCACAATTAAGACCGAAATTGGTCAAAATATGCCCATTTTTTATTATTGATTTTTCTCATTTTCAAGTGGGTGCAAATGAAATCTCAGGTGGGTGCAAGCCTATTTTTAAAATCTCAGGTGGGTGCTGCATCCACATGTTTTAATGCTGGGGAGATCACTGCAATGCATCAAGATTGTAGAGAGGTTAAGTTTTAAGTATTTAATAGAACTGTGTACATTAATATATGTTCAGCATTAAGCATGTTGGGAAAGCACCAATGCATCATTACCAAAGTTGGCCAAGTGAAATTCTGATTCCATCTTCTGTAGGCTTAGGGTTGAAGTATCCTTGGCCATCTTCTGTTTGACTACCGTACAAACCGATTTTAAAGGTAGCCTAAGGGGGGTGTTTTATGCATTTGAGAGAGATGTATGTACTTGGAAGATGTGTTCATGCATAAGATAGATGTGCATCTCCATTACACTGTTATAAACTGACCAATATTTGCAATCTGCTTGTAGGTTGATACCGTGAGACAGGTATTAAGGAAAGAACTAAAACTGAAGATAGTAGAGATTGAAGATCAGAAGGCTTATGTCGAAGGCGGAGATGTCTTATTCACTGGTGAGTCACATTTATTACAGGTAGAAGATTCTCGACTCCCCCGTCACCTCAAGTTTAAAGGGGAACACAGAGAACTGAATGAAGTCCTATTACAAAATCCTCCAAAAATCTTTACATATAGATATCGGAGTAAAATCATAATGATAACGTCATCATGACAACGACCTATATAATATCGTATAATACCTTTTTAATCTGTTTTTAATTTCATTAATTATCACCCCAGCCATTTCAGTACATATTATCTGTGTTCTCCACAAGATTTTTTCTCAAGTGGGTGCAAAATTCTGGTTTTCACAAATCATCAAAAATTGGTCAAAATATGACCATTTTTCATTATTTTTCTCATTTTCAAGTTGGTGCAAAGGGATTTGCAGGTGGGTGCAAGCCTTTTTAGGTCTCAAGGGTGTTGCGCCCACTTGCTTTAATGCTGGGGAGATCACTGTATTTGATATAGCACATGACCTTGACCTATTTCCCATGTGAATTAGTGATTTCATGATTGCAGGCAAAGAGATCTTTGTTGGAATCTCCAAGTTCAAAAATGCAGGAGGAGCTCAGGCGGTTGCTAGGGCTTCCCCAGAATACTCTAAACAGCCTTGACCTATTTCCCATGTTGGAATCTCCAAGTTCAAAAATGCAGGAGGAGCTCAGGCGGTTGCTAGGGCTTCCCCAGAATACTCTAAACAGCCTTGACCTATTTCCCATGTTAATCAGTGATTTCCTTATTTCAGGCAAAGAGATCTTTGTTGGAATCTCCAAGTTCACAAATACAGGAGGAGCTCAGGCAGTCGCTAGGGCTTTCCCACAATACTCTACTTGACCTTGACCTATTTCCCATGTTAATCAGTGATTTCCTTATTTCAGGCAAAGAGATCTTTGTTGGAATCTCCAAGTTCACAAATGCAGGAGGAGCTCAGGCAGTCGCTAGGGCTTTCCCACAATACTCTACATGACCTTGACCTATTTCCCATGTTAATCAGTGATTTCCTCATTGCAGGCAAAGAGATCTTTGTTGGAATCTCCAAGTTCACAAATGCAGGAGGAGCTCAGGCGGTCGCTAGGGCTTTCCCGGAATACTCTACATGTGCCATAAAAGTATTCGGTCCCAACCACCTCAAGGATTACATGAGCATGGCAGGACCTGATATTATTGCCATTAGCAACAGTGACGATGCACAAAAAACATTTAAGGTTTGTATCCATTATCATTTATGAAATTAATAATTAAAAAAAAATTATAGCATATTAAAGTTGAGACCATGAATAATGTTTTCTCCAGGCTTATTGTCATATGAGTACAAAATTATTGTTTACTAGAATCTGATGTGGTCAAATGACGCATAGGCCTTTCTGATGCTCTAAATTCTCAACCTAGTGCAACCAAGGAGGATTGGCTCCCAGAATGATATTTTCCAACAATGAAAATGTTATTGTCTGTCAATAAACTGGCTATGAAATCAGATATACCATTATCGCCGTCTTTAGCACCCATCCCACTTCACAAAGTTTGAGAAATATTGGGGAATGACCATTCTGATACTCATAGCATCTCTCTCTGTTGCATCGATATTCAACAGTCTCTGGTGGAAATGATGAAGATACTTGGGGAAACGAGTTCTTCAGTTTTGGGACTCCTCTAGGGATTTTTAAAATATTGTTTTGTTAGATTCTTAGCAATGATTCTTGAATCATTTTAGCAATTTTTTACTCTTTCATGGGCGCTATAGAAGTCTGAAGGATGTATTTTGAATTTTCTATATACCCCGGGTGCTAATTACAGAGAATATGGTATATACCTTATTACCATTTACTCACAAGAAGTACATGTATATGTATATGAGATCATTCTTAACTAGACCATTAAATAATCGCAGACATAAATCATGAGATAAGTTTGAAGTATACTCCTACTTTATTTACTCTTTACCACATTCAGATAAGCCTTTATTACCTGCTTTTTCAATTGATTTAACAGGTTACGTTTAAGTAAACATTCTATTGGTTGAAAAGTCATATTGTAAGGCCTTTGTACGATGTCATCTTATGCTCATATATAGGAGGGATAGACATTTAAAAAACATGGGGATTTTTTTTTTATTGATCTTTAAACAAAATTTGGCTGCTTTTTTAAAAAAATGGCCTGATTTTGAAAATAATGGTCCATTCTTCAGAAAGGCCTATTTAAGGCCTCGAATGAAAATGAAATCCTAAGGGAGTGTACCATATCCCCTATGTTCATCATATGAGTAAAATATGATTTGGCGTAATATGTATTTATTCCAGGTATGAGATATAAATATATGTACACTATATATGTTTTGTGTGTTTTCATTGAAATACTTTTCCAATTTACAGGCGTTAATTTACACTGCAAATGTAAATTGATTAATGTAACACAATGAATGTTTCTTTTGAGGGGGATGTGTCAAAACATTGGCATCTATTGCAAGACTTAAATGGGTGGTGCCTAGTAGGCTTAAAAGCTCAATTTGATTTGTGAAACATCAGTTGTCCTTATTATATATTCCAATGTTTTATATTCAGTATTCTCTTATTCAGAAGTTGAAGGCTAATTTGTGGAGACTTTGCTGTGAAATCAACTCAAATTTGATAAGTTTTTTTGAGATGTCGATGGATTGACCTAACCCCAGTAGAGCTTACAAAATAGGGAATATTAAAAACACACTCCTATTACAAACCTAACTAATCGCTTTGGAATGACTATTTAGTGTAACTGTATTCATTCTGACAGATGTACCACTGCTGGTGTATTTATAAATGTTTTCATAATGATTATTTTTAGCTGGGAATCTTTTTATCACACAGGAAGAAGTTATATTACATTCTATCCACAAGAAAGTTGCTCAGCAATGTTTTCAAGTTGTGCTCTATGTTGCCATGGTGATGCATAACCAAAATAATTTCTAAATTATTGCATGTTTGATTTAGACATACCAGTATGTAAGAAAAATTGGATTTCCCAGAATAAGTTCATTTTTTATAGATTTAAAGGAGTAACATTCCCATTTAGAACATTTCATTATTTGTTTTATACTCATTAATAATTGACTTCCAATTTTTTTTCATATGTTGTCATACTTTTCAGTTTTGGTATAGTTTAAAAATAATATAGAAACCTGAACTGTGACCTATTTATGGCATTTTCCCTTACAGCTTAACTTTACAGTCAATCTTGGCCTTATATGATAAGTGATAATAGAGTACTTCATCATTTCTTACACTAAAATGCAGTAAAATTAAGCCATTCTTGTCAAGAAATATTGCCATACATGAAATTTTCGGGGAATTTTGACTTCTTTCATACATGGTTGCATGCTTATCATTCTGATACTCATACCATGATCTCTGAGAAGAAATGAGATGTCATGGTTTATCATGATGGGTGCTTACTAGAATAATTTGAATGAGGCATTTTGAATTTTCTCAATGCCCTAGGCCCAATTACATGGTAATTATTATGGTAGGTTAAAGTATATTGGTACATTATTTATATTGCATGTGATATATTTATCTAGGATATGCAGTTGCAATCGTCTTTCGGCTATGATCTAATCCACCTTGAAGAAGACAAGGCAGCCAATGTCGTCTTTGCAAATGGTCACATGGTCCATTTGCCGACGGAGGAGATCCCAAAAAGCATTGGGGTAGGAAAGTCTGTGGTGGATCGCTTTAATTGTTAACTGTACCCCAATGATATTGCTTCCAGGCTTGCTTTAATTATTGCTTAATTGCAGACATCAGATTTCTATATACTTAAAGCTGCAAAAGTTGTCCTTAGAGTCTCAAGGAAATCCATGTGAAGCATTTAACTATTTTAGGCATATGCATTTCCTGAAAAAATGTATTTAGTACTATATTGTTAAATAAAGTGTACTATTTTTTAGACCCATTACACATGTAATACGTATCCTACTTAAAAAAACTTAAGAGTCGTGCATATCCTCTCAAATTTTCTAATGACTTTTGGACAACTTTTTTGTAATTAATTTGCATGTATACGTAGTAGGAGCATTACACTGTACTCATCCTTAAGATATACATCCAAACAGATCACTCAGATTGGTCAAATTTATTGTATATAAAGGGCTAGTAAAGTGTATTGCATAGCTAGGATCTGCACAAAAACAACCCTTACATTTTCCCCCATCCTGACCAATTTGGAATTCATAAAAAATGTTGAAATCAACAAGATTCAGATAATTGGTATCAAATAACTTCCTGCCATTTCCTAATTACATTGCTAATGAATGAGTCGTTTTCCTAATTTTCCTATCAAATATCTGAAGCTGAATTTCCTGTTGACAAACACTTGAAATTTTTAGAGATGTTTTCGTATTGATCATATACCAGCCTGCCATCTTTATGTGGATCAAGAAGTCTACAGCCATATAGATAAGCCATCGTGTCCTGGACTATCAACAGATGTGGAATAACGAAGTTAGTTTCACAAGGACGGGAGGGGGTAAATGATGGTTAGTTGAGGGGAGGCGCGGGTCAAACCATGATATATTTAACATTGATTTTCCACGATTGTTGATAAGTAGACACCATCCCTAATTCTGGCAGTGGAGCTTACTTAGACCTCTGTCTGTGACAAGTGAAAAATTATGACTTGATTAAACTTATTTTACCCTTTTTACAAATTAGATGATGTCAAGTCAGTTTCAGACCCCTTTTGATTGGTAAATTAGGTCTTTGAAAAAGAATTATTTCATTCCGAGACTTATTTCCCAAACTGGGTCTGAAGCTGTGTTTGATGCCGATGATGTCACAATTAATTTCTAGGAACTTGTCATTAGATGCTTTATTGCTGCTGTTGCTATGTTGTATCTGTGACCTTTGACCTTTACACTTGCTCCACCTTTCTATCAGCTTGCTAACTATGCCTCCTATCTGCTTTTTTCACAGGATATGCAATATCATGCATCATATGGCAGTGAATTAATCCATGTTGAATCTAACCGAGCTGCAAATGTCATCTTTGCAAATGGTCACATGTGTCATATATCTTCGGATGATGTTCGTGGTGTCGGGGTAAGTAGCGAACGTCAGGCCCGTAGCCAACTTTTGCCAATAGGTTTAAGTTTTTTCAGATTTTAATTTTTTTTTTTTTTATTTATTAAAATCAATGTAACATATTTACAGGTTTTAGTGGCTATGACCCCCAGGAGGGAGTATTAGGTACCACTTAATTTGATTTGACAATTTTTGCCAGAATCACTTGAAAATAACCCCCTGGCTACAGGCCTGAATGCAGTATCTGCAGCATGTAAATTTAGTATATTATCCTACACTTAGTGTACTAAATGTATAATAACATGAAAAAATAAATTTGATATTTATTGGCAAAATGAATATCCGGAGGATATCGTAACGATATACTCCGGGCGGAGGATATCGTGACGATATACTCCGGAAAACCCAATATGCGGAGGATATTGTGACGATATACTCCGCTTGTTGATTTCCCGCCAAATTGACTCTATTTGGCATGAAATTCATTTTACAATGATATTATACATTCAGTACACCCCTTGTAAGTGTAGAATAATAAGAACATCCTATGATTTTTTCAGAATATCATTTTAATCTACTCGGTGATATTGATATATGCACTCGTTCGCTTCGCTCTCTCGTGCAGATATCAATATCACCTCGTAGATAAAAATGATATTCCTCAAAATCATAGGATATCCTATAAGTACTTTCCTATGGTAGTTTAGATAAATGTAGTTCTTTGGTGTGATTGTAACTTTTATGCATAGTAATCTCATGTATGGGTTCAGTTCTTCTTTATGCAGTTTATTTTTATGTCACCATCAGAAGTTGCGATGATTGGATATTGTAGTCACACAATCTGCTTGTTATCCCAACGAACAAAGTTCAATAGGGATATAGTGAAGCCCTTCCTTCCTCCATCCGTCAGTCAGTGTATATGTCAGTCCGTCTGTCTGGAAGAGAACTCGAATACTATCTAGTAGACAAATTTTCTCCATATTTGGTGGAAAGATGTATATTGTTAAAAAGTTTTGGCAAAAAAAAGATTTCAAGATGGCTACAGCTTTAAAAATGGCGGAAAATTTTAACAGGAATTTTGAGATATTTCTGAATTATACTCAAATGAAAGGCAATTTAGAGTAGATTGCAAATATTGTACAGTTTTTATTGGTTTAAACCTCGAGATATTTTGTCTATGATGTCATAATTATATCTGACCAACCCTGGGATATCTCAGCTTTAAAAATGGCGGAAAATTTTAACAGGAATTTTGAAATATTTCTGAATTATACTCAAATGAAAGGTAATTTAGAGTAGATTGCAAATATTGTACAGTTTTTATTGGTTTAAACCTCGAGATATTTTGTCTATGATGTCATAATTATATCTGACCAACCCCGGGATATCTCGAGGTGGTATCCAAATATCGTCACACAATTTGTACCAATAATCTTACCAAATATTGTAGGGGTCACTAGAGAACATGATTGGTTGCAATTGAAATAAATTGTCATTGGCTTCATAATCACTTAGAACATAGCAAAATGTTAGTCTAAACATGCTATTTTGCTCAATTTTTCATCAAAGTGGCCAGTCACCAGCAGAAAACCTCCAAAATAGCTTTGGCCAGCAATGAGTTATGGTGGTGTCTTTCCGATTTGTGCTTCAAAAAATTCAAAATAGCTGCTAAGCAGGAATTCTCTATTACTAAGAGATGTATTTACAAGTTACATTTTGACAAATACAGATTCTTGAATGTTGTGTGCCTTGGGATTTGCTACTCCATGGAGTTCATGATTTATCATTTGTCTACTTATTTTAACAAAATGAAAAGTAAAATTGATTTTGTAATATACAGGGTGTCCCGAAAGTATCATCCCCCTAGGCAGACATATACCCGGTTCTTCATAGTATGTGTCATATATCATTTTAACGCTTATCCAAAGTTACATTGATTGGCCAAGTATCATGGTTCAACTCCCAAATGTGAGGGAATTACAGGCATTTCTAAATTTAGTGTTAGGTCAAAATCGGGCTCAATTTTACACCAAATCACTAGTCAATATGTCCTCCCGGGCTATCTTAATATTGGATGGATAATGAGTTGGAAAAAGAGAACAGTGAGGGTAGAAACCCTAAGGAAACTCCTCTAAAGTGCTTTAAAATGTTTTAAGAGGATTATAGAATTCCACACCCCTATTTGAAATGCTTTAAAGATCATATCTGAAAAGAATTGCTGCTGTTAACATGGCCAAGGTAGGACACAAATTTAAAATGACTAACTTTTCCTCATTTGAGAGTTGAACCATGATACTTGGCCAATCAGTGTAACTTTGGATAAGCTTTAAAATGATATATGACATGACACATACTATGAAGAACCTGGTATATGTCTGCCTAGGGAGGGGGGAGGGGGCATACTTTCGGGACACCCTGTTCACTAAATAGGAAGAATATGATATTTTTTAAATAGCATTATTAACAGAATAAATGAATAAAGTAAAATAAATAAAAAAGATAATAAATAAAATCATCAATAAAAGTGTTTCATTAAGTATTACCTTTTCATTCGGGACACTAATTTTGATTAAAAAAATTCATAAATACATTGATCTTTCTGTTTTATTAAATCGACATGTACAAATAATATATGAATCTTTCAGGTGTATGAGAACAAAATTAACTACGATCGTAAAGTAGTTGCATTTAAAGAGATGTTGAAAGCAACCAATCGGCTATCATCGTCTGTGTTGCTCGTCTCAAAGATACGTCATCCGAAAAAGATCACATCAACGCTGCAATAAATGAGAATAATGCATTCTGGGAACATTCGACGTAGTTCTAGACGGCTAGCTATTGTATATAGCAGAACATGGTATGATAACGGAGCATCAGACTATTCTACAAGACAGAAAAGGACATACATTTAAAATGTACTGTGTAATAAATACAGCAAATACTGTAAACCTAGACTAATAGGCACAAGTTATTTTTCCCGAAAAATTCAATTGTGCAAAATTTCCTAGGATTACAATATTTATGGTTTAAATTAATGAATTACTCAAAGAGGATAACCAGTGTCTTTGCGTAAGTTCAGGTTTTGTGGAATTACAATGAGACGAGCCACTGCCATATATAGACATATTAAATCTATTAAAATATATTATATCAAAAATCAATGTACATTTAGGCTAGCTAGTTATATAGTTATTAAAAACTGATTATTTTACGCTTTGTCAAAAATGATCTTAGAATTTAAAATTCTTTATGTATGATAACAGTCTTCGACTATATGCCTTCTTTTTGCAAATGAAATCATGAAATTATGAATGATTTTGTCAGTAAATTAAATATTTTGTGAAACCTGCATATCTGTCCTTGAATTGGCTGATATTTTTGGGTTTATTTATCTCATATAAGATAAACATAGAAGTACTTATCACTGTTATTTCATAAGGTGCTTTATAATTGTATTATGTTAACTTGTAAAAATTATATAATGTATTATATTTTTACTTTTATTTTAAAACTAATGCAGGTTTTAGAGTGATATCGGTGTTAAGCAAGGGTGTGTATTTAAAGCACTCCTAGATCTTCAACAACTGGGGTAGTGTTATGACTTGTTGTTGAATCTCCTGTCGAGTATAAATGTATTTTGAGATCTTGTTACGAGGTTATGCATGCCATGATATGTCAAATCATACATAAAAGAGTTATTTCTAGGTCTAAATTCATTTGCCATAGGTTATATGCATGCCTTGATATATAAATCAACTATAAAAGAACATTTTTAGGACTTAATTCATTTGCCATGAGTTATATACATGCCATGATATCTTAAATGATAAAATACAAACATTTTTGGACTTAATTCATTTGCCATAGGTTATATGCATACATATGATATGTGAAATCATATGTAAGAGAAAATTCTAGGACTAAATTCATTTGCCATGAGTTATATACATGCCATGATATCTTAAATGATAAAATACAAACATTTTTGGACTTAATTCATTTCCCATAGGTTATATGCATGCCTTGATATGTAAATCAACTATAAAAGAGAACATTTTTAGGACTTAATTCATTTGCCATGAGTTATATACATGCTATGATATCTTAAATGATAAAATACAAACATTATTGGACTTAATTCATTTGCCATAAGTTATATATGCATACATATGATATGTGAAATCATATGTAAGAGAAAATTCTAGGACTAAATTCATTTGCCATAAGTCATAATGTTTCTAAAAAGTGTATGTAATGTATATGCAGGTAAAAAGATATAAACAGGCAGCATCTGACTAAATTCAACAACAGGGTGAAGTCACCTGATTACAACTGGGTGAAATCACCTTTAAACTGTCCCCTTAGAAAAATGCATTTTTTCTTCAAAATTTTGCAAATAAGACTGTGGATTTTGCAATTTAAAAACTGGCTTTTGCGAGGATTATGGATCAACAACTTAATTTGCAAAAAGACCAGTCAAGAAGCAAGTAAAATATTTTTTGTGTTTTGCATCAATTCAAGTAAAAAACTCAAATTTCTTGCTTTTTGCATTTCTTTGCACCAGATTGGAAATTTTTCAAATGACGCCAAATTTTGTGAAATTGCATTAATTGCAATCGCTGAAATACAAGTATCTATAGGGACAGTTTAAAACATGCAAAGTATGAATATTTGTAAAAACATACTTGTTACATTGTCATAGCAACAGGAATATTAAGAATTATGGTCAATGCTGTCTGTTTCCAGCCTCTATTAACATGTCACATACCAACTGAAATATTTTATTTCATGCATGGGCGTAGCCTCGCCAAAATTTTGCAGAAAATATGAACTCCGACGTTTCTTTCATTTGAAAACGCCAAAATTTTGCAGAAAAAATATGAACTCAGACGTTTTTTTTTCATTTGAAAATGCCAACATTTTGCAGAAAAAATATGAACTCGTCGTATTATTCAATTAAAACTTATATAATATGAGAGCATTATTTTTGCTTTTAAAACAAAATTGCCTTTTCAAATAAAATAATTGCCTCGTCAAATTTTAGCTCCTGGCTACGCCCCTGACATGAGTACTCATCTTCAAATGTTATAGTCAATCAACATATGTGTTCGTCATTGCCCATTAAGTATGAAAAACTGTGTGTTTGAGGATAGAGAATGTTAAGGGAGTTGGAGCTTGTACACTAGAAAATATAAATGTAGAAGGTTTATACACACAGGGTTGGTTTTTATTAGTTGTAGTTTGTTTAAAAATGCTGATTTGTAAGCTTTATGCTTCTCGCTTACGTTCTACGATGACTGTTAACGTTTGTCTGATTTAAATTTATTTTTATATGTGTCCGTAGATTGAAATTCTCGAATGACGTTCATTCATAGGGTAGTGTCTTTTTAATCAACAGAAAAAAATCTAATAAAGGTGTAGCAATTAATCATTTAGATTATTTCGGGAATCAGTTTTCAAAAATATAATTTTGCTTTTCAAAAATATAATTTTGCTTTTCAAATTACCTCAATCAATAGCCATTCATACCTCAACCTCAATTTTAATGTTATTACTGAGAGTGTTAAAATTTTAAACCTGCACATGCGTAGTGTGTTAGAATCTTAAATAGAAGGCATACTTTTTAATGGATTCCATATAAATACACGTAGGTGAAATCCAAACTGCATTGTCATAAATTTTATAAAAAATGCAATAAACTGTGTAAAAGCTTAAAACTGTTTTTAATTTTTATGGATAGTTTCATTTAAGCTCTGCGTAGAATGCAAGCCAGGTACAATTTTATTATTTCACCAAACGAAATTTGTAGGGATATAGAGAAACCGTCCATTTGTTTGTGTGTCTGGGCGATAACTCAAATACCAGTTGACAAATTTGATTTTTATAGCCTGAAGGGTGTACATGTAGGACATCTGCTTCGAAGAACTTTCAATATGGCTGCTCAATTCAAAATGGATGCCACTTTTCGTAATCCACCTGCCTGTCAAAACATTGTGGCCTTTTCAAAATTCTCCATGGCAATTGAAATAGTTTCAGGACCTTCTGATTCCTACATCAACTCTTTTTGGAGTAAACTGCACTACGGGAAATAATACAATCAAAAATAATGTTATTCCATCTTAATTATCTGAATAAAAAAGTATTTTGCATTTTACACAAGATTCCGAAAAATTCCCTTAAAATAATCATGGGTATCTATTGGAAGCCCATGAAATAATTTGATATAGGTTGTGTCAGAAGAAAATTGTTATGATGTTGATTATAATCCAACCTGACGAACATAATTAGAACCAACCCCAATCCTTTTCCTCAGTACTTTCCAAAAGAATATATAACCACATCATCTAATTGGTGCATGAACATTTCCTGTCTTTAAAAACTGTAAATCATTACTAGTTTCTACTAATTAAACCTGAATTATATATTTTTTAAGATTAAGACAACATTTTAATGTTTACATGAAGGTACACTGTACAGTAAAATTTTAAATGTTTGGAACTATTTTGAATTTAAAAAATAAGCAATCAAATGACTATATTGCAACAGAATATAAGAAAATAGAAACATGTGTAGCTTCAATATGGTCCTTTGATTGCTTATTTTTTAAATTCAAAGTTGTTCTAAACATTTAAAATTTTACTGTAACATATTATTCATTATCCTTTAAAATGAGCATTAACATTATGAGTCCATGTATGTCTCTGACAGTGTCCTCTTACTTATTCGTGAAAGAAAATCAAATCTAATGGTATTCCCTAATGTATCCGTTAATGTGACACTCTGCATCAGCCACATTAACCTAATCTGACAATTTGATTTTTGGTGTGTCTCATAACATGTAATATCAATTGGCCCATTCTGTCCTATAATGCTATTGTGATTTGTTGTGATGTTATAGTGAGCACATATAAACATTTGTTTAGCAACAAACAACAAGTAACAATACCAAACTTTTTTAGAAAAATGCATGATTTCCGCATGCTTTAAAATAATTAAAATAACAAGTTATTTTGATATTTATATGTTATAATTAAATTGACCTGCCTACCCTTAATACAGGTTACCATGGCAGCCTTATCTCATTGATATTTTAAGATATAGCTTTAATATTTTAGCATTGTATGTGTAATTACATAATCTACATTTTCTGAAAAAATGAGAGGGATATGTGAAAAAATCACAAAATGAGAGCATTTTTATCAGAATATATGGATCGCCCCTTGTAATTGTCAAGACGTAGTAGTAATAAACTTGCAAGGCAAATGATTAATTGTTTTAACAATGAATGTCGCCCTGCTGTCCTTCCCAAGGTAATATATTGTACATGTATACCTTTACCATGTGGTGGATTCCACTATCCCGGGGGTTCACTGTATACAAAATTCTGCGTGGGTCCTAGGCTGAACCCTCAGATATCAATGTGTTCCCATACCAATCTGTCAAATTTCAATGTGTTCCCATAGCTACCAAATAACAGCCAAAAGGCATACCAAATGTCCAAATATAGGTCCAATGCCATACTAAATGTCCAAATATTAGACCAATGCCATACTAAATATCCAAATATAAGACCAATGTCATACCAAATATCCAGACATAAGACCAATGCCATACTAAATGTCCAAATATAAGATCAATGCCATACCAAATGTCCAAATATAAGACCAATGCCATACCAAATATCCAGACATAAGACCAATGCCATACCAAATGTCCAAATATAAGACCAATGCCATACCAAATATCCAGACATAAGACCAAGACCATTCAAAATGTTTAAAGACCCGAGAAGAATGCATGGCTTTGAGCAAAATGAAGCAAAAAACCTCAGATTATAATATATGTGATTACTAGATCAATGCCATAGCACAAATGAGAGGGAACATATTTTACACGACTATTCCGGGGACTATTCTCATACCAGAAAGTGGAAAAATCCGACCATTGCCATACCTCAAAAGTCATAGTTTGGAAGACATTCTCATACCAATTGAAATCCTAAAATTTGGACCATTGCCATACCAAATGTCAAAAGAGGTACCCCACGTGAGCCCCACGAGGATCACTGTCAAGGTTTTTATACAGTGAACCCCCGGGTCCACGATGTATCTAGAATTACAGTCTCGTCGAGCATTGAAAAAGATGTCTAAACATAAATAACATTGAGGAATCGTCCACTGTAAAAGTATGAGATCTGCTCCATGGACTATTTCATAACATAGTTGAAGGATATACAATATAGGGCATTATCGAAGAGCCTTTAATCCTTGATATACAAAATGCAGGGTATAAACCAAACATTGAATCAACTGCTCCTATTGATGTTGATCGGACTTGTCATCTTGTATAGCTATATTTGGATATGGCATGATCAAACTTGGACAGTTAACACCACTCATTTAAACCACATACAAAACTACGAAACATCTAAACAAAGGAAAAACAATGGCAACCCCAAAAAATGGAATCAGATTCGATCTCATAACGATATTAGAGAACCCTCAGTACACCACTATCAGGGGGAGTGCAAAGATGGGTCAATGTCATCACAGTTGTCATTGAGAATGTTCAAGTCAATTGAAACAATAATGAACCCACCGGACTGTTCAAAAGCAAAGTATCTATTGTGCGAATGGCCTTTTATGGCATGGGGGCTTGGATCAATGATGCACCAAATAAGTTATTGTTTCTCCGTTGCCTTGGCAACCAATAGAGTGTTGTTGATAAGTGCCCAATGGAAATTCATTCCTGAAAGTTGGTATTATTACTTGTTGCAACCAAGTACTAAATGCTGGGATTTTCAATACACAAACTATACCTTTTGGTATGACCTGGATAATAGTAGTATAGAAAAGAGCAATGTCCAAGTTGTGCGGTTAATACTTATGACCAATGCACTGATTAAGAATAAAACACGGCCAAGGCCACTTCCTGAAAACTTAATGGACAGTAGTGCGTTATGGAACAAACTCACCCAACTTCACCAATCACCTGCTTTGTGGGTGATTGGGCAATTGATGGGATACCTCATCCAGCCTTCTCCGTCGTTCTCTCAACAATTAGAGGATCTTAAACGGGCGATAGGTTTCGTACATCCAATAATTGGAGTTCACATACGACGCGGTGACAAGATCACTGAAGCCGATCCAATCCCCACTTACAAATACATTGAACGCATTGAAGCATATATTAACCAATTAGGTTACAGGACTTCTAACGACAAGGTGCCATCTATATTCTTCGCATCAGACAACAGAAAACTGATTGGTCAGATCAAACAACACTACACGCAGTATAACATCATTCATGTACCACATTACTTTTCTAAAACACATTTAGATCTTATCATGTTTGATATTCTGCTTCTGAAGGAATGTGATTATTTCATCGGAACATTTTCATCTAATGTTGGTCGTCTTGTATACGAGCTACAACAGAGCATGTACGCAGATGCAAGTTGTCTGGCAGAATCACTAGATGACAGTTACACTACCGTCTATTGTTGTGGCCTAAGTCATAATCAACAAAAGATGGGACATTTTCAACCAAATTGTTCGTTTGAATCTACCAGACAACAATATGATATTATTGAAGCATGTAATTAAGTTAGTATTCCTTTTTTGGACATTTTTCCAAGAAAAGTATAATGATTATGACATATCACTCAATCATATTCAATCACACTAAATACAGTCAATGTGAATACATTAGAAATGAGCATTTTTTCTATAATTTGCAATGGATTTATTTATCCACAAAACAGCAATATAATGTAGCAAATGGAAAGCCTCTGTCTCAATGAATTTACGATTCAATAATTTTTACTTCCATTAATTTAATTTTTATAGCTGAAAACAAAATTCCAATGAGAATTTAACATGGTGTAAACAAAAATCAAAAATACGCAAATCGGGGAGTAAGTATGCTTATTGCAGTTACACCCAAATGTGTGAAGCTTTAAATATTCACTAGAAGTCTTGAACACTTTCACTACTTGAATTTGTTTCGAGATTGATGATTACAGGGTCCATTTCCTCAATATGATAGATCTTTTCTCATACCTTTCTCTATGTAAACTGAATACAACTGGATTTTAAATTATCATACAATAACATTACTGGGTATAGTTCAACGTCGTTAAACTCAATAACGGCGTTCTTTACTATTAGATATTTTCTATGCCGTTATTGGGCCATAGGACACGTCAGATAAGAAACGAGGCCCAGGCTAGGTCTAATGTTGTTGGACTACTGGTTATAGTTTAACGTCGTTAAACTCAATAACGGCGCTCTTTACTATTAGATCTTTCTTGGCCGTTATTGGGCCATAGGACACGTCAGATAAGATGCAATGCATGAAGATGATTTTCATTGGTGTATGATTTGACATTGGTTGTTCACTTAAATAGGTACAGTCTGTTTTTACTTCATAGTCACCAGTTGAACCTAAAAAATAAGAAATATAAAGTATGGAAAAACATATTCATACTATACATGAATGACATTTGTATATCTTGGATTGCTTCTAAATTGGCTAATAAAGTCTGTAGCCTCTTATATTTTGATGCTTTTTCGCCATTTTAATTCTGAAAAAATTATGAAAAATTAACATGGCTGATAGACCTCAAATTATAAGAAGGCACAGGCTTATTGTACTAGAACTAAATAATCTGAAATATACAAATGTCATTCATGTGCAGTATGAATATGGTTCCATATATCATTGCGCAATGGTCTTTGGATTTCTTATTTTTTAGGTTCAACTGGTGACAACGAAGTAAATTTATAATCACCTCAGATGGAAAAATTGAATAGATTGTGCAATGTTAAATTCTCATTGGAATTTTGTCTTTGATTTGATCATGGGCTTTCAATTCTAGTTGAAAGCCCATGATTTGATGAAAGCAAATATACGTTTGAGTTACGAGACCATCCGTCTAACCAATGAAGCAAGACGAGACTTATTCTTACACATTTAACATGTATTTTATGACCATAGTAATGCTCAACCATATTGATTTTTCGTTTAATTCTAAATTTATGACTCTCTCCGGTGATCATCCTTTATATAACTCATACATCAATTTATTGAGCAGATGAAATAAAAGCCGATATCTCATATTTTTAAAGTAGATGATTCCTCTGTATAAATAATATACCACACTCTATCTAAAATTACAGTCTCAGTGTTCACGCTATGGATAAACATAACATCTCATGTAATAAAGGATCATCTACTGTATGATATCTGCTCAATCTAAATTAATTCATTTAATATGTACAGTGAACTAATACATAACATTGGATAATACGTATATTGCTTAATTAAAGTACATTTAAAGTGGATTTTTGGAATGCGTGGTATGAGCCGAATATTGATTCAAGTGTTTCTTCTGTTTTTGATTGGACTTTCCATATTGTACAGCTATACTTGGATATGGGGTAATCACAGTTTGACAATGAAATCCAGTTACACCACCCCTTTAAGCCAAATGCAAAACTACAAAACTTCACAACGAAGGAAACAAAATGGCAGCCAAAAGACTTGGAATCAATTTGGATCACATAGGAATATTGGAGACCCCTCAGTACATCAGTATCAGGGAAAGTGTGCGAAAGAGAGTTCTGAGTTATTTCAGCTGTCATTCAGACTGTTCCAGTCAATTGAAGCAATCATGAACCCAGTGGACTGTTCAAAAGCGAAGTATCTATTGTGCGAATGGCCTTTTAAGGATTGGGGCCTTGGATCAATGATGCACCAAATAAGTTATTGTTTCTCCGTTGCCTTAGCAACCAATAGAGTGTTGTTGATAAGAGCCCAGGAGAAATTTATTCCTCAAAGTTGGGACTATTACTTGTTACATCCTAGTATTAAATGCTGGGATTATCAATATACCAATTACACATTCTGGTACGACCTTGAGAATTTTGAGAAGAGTAATGTTCAAGTCGTTCGGTTATTACTGACGACAAGTCGTGCAGCGTCTCAAAATAAAACATGGCCAAGGCCGCTTCCTGAAAACCTAATGAAAAGTAGTGCATTATGGTACAAACTCGCCCAACTTCACCAATCACGTGCTTTGTGGGTGGTTGGACAACTGATGGGATACCTCATCCAGCCTTCTCTGTCCTTCTCTCAACAATTAAAGGATCTTAAACGGGCAATAGGTTTCATACATCCAATAATTGGAGTCCATATACGACGGGGTGACAAGATCACTGAAGCTGAACCTATCCCCACTTACAAATACATTGAACGCATTGAAGCATACATTAACCAATTAGATTACAAGACTTCTAACGACAAAGTGCCATCTATATTCATCGCATCAGACGACAGAAAACTGATTGATCAGATCAAACAACACTACACGCAGTATAACATCATTCATGTACCACATTACTTTTTTAAAACACATTTAGATCTTATCATGTTTGATATTCTGCTTCTGAAGGAATGTGATTATTTCATCGGAACATTTTCATCTAATGTTGGTCGTCTTGTATACGAGCTACAACAGAGCATGTACGCAGATGCAAGTTGCCTGGCAGAATCACTAGATGACAGTTACACTACCGTCTATTGTTGTACCTTAGACCATAATCAACGAAACATGGGTCATTTTCAACCAAATTGTTCGTCTGGAACTACGAGACGACAATACGATATAATTGAAGCATGCAAAAATGTTTCACTATTCCCTCCTTGAACATTTTTGATGAAAAATAAAATATTACAAGTAACAAGGACGTATATTGTCTATCAAAGTCCTTGGTAACATTATCCATAAACAAAAATAATGACTTTTTAGTCCTTTGACAATAAAATATGACATTATCCAATATCATAAATATTAACTTCAATACTTATGGTAACATAAATAATATTGAACAATTCATGTAAAACAAGAAATCAGCTACCGCTACACGGAGTAGCAAATCCCAACGAACAAAATTTTCAATGTAAACTAGACAACAGCAACGCCAAGGCGTAGCCAATCCCATCGAACAGCCATGGCTGGCAAAAAGTGTATATAAAAAATGGCCACCATTATAGCCAAATTGTCATCAGAAAGTGTAATATGTTATAAGAGAAAGTGTCTATGTAATATTTCAACAAAATCGGGCACACATACATGTCCATGCCGGCCATTTTTTAAAATGGCCGCCTACTTGCCATTTTGAAAAATGACCGCCTTCTGCCAAAAGTGTCATTAGACAGTGTGCCATGCTTATAGTATTCACATACCAAATATGAACAAAATCGCTCCACTACTTTTCGAGTTATAGTAAAAAAGCGTTAAGATGGCGGCCATTTTGAAAAATGACCGCCTTCTGCCAAAAGTGTCATTATACAGTGTACCATGCTTATAGTATTCACATACCAAATATAAACAAAATCGCTCAACTAGTTTTCAAGTTACAGGAAAAATCGTAAAATAGCGTGTAATGGCCGCCATTTTTCAAGATGGCTGCCATGTGCTTCTTCGATATCTACATTTTTAGCTTTATTAATGTCCTAAATATTTTTTACATTTAAAACATATTGCTATTACAGTTTTACATATTGACCTAAATTACTGTAAAATCGCACTAAAATGGCTGCGATTTTTAAATGAGCGGCCAGTTTGAAAATCGACTTTCGAGCAGAACTTCTATCCCCATAGGGTATATGTGTACAAAATATGAACAAAATCGGGCCAGTTATTGCCCGGACGGGCGGACGGGTGGACGGACGGACAGACGCAGGCGTTCCCTATATCCCTCCGATTTAACTTCGATGGGATAATTATAGGATATCCTATGATTTTGAGGAATACCATTTTTATCTACGAGGTGATATTGATATCTGCACGAGAGAGCGAAGAGGAGTGTACTAAATTACAAGGAGTGTACTTACAAGGAGTGTACTAAATGTATAATATCATTGCAAAATGAATTTCATGCAAAACAGAGTCAATTTGGCGGGAAATCAACAAGCGGAGTATATCGTCACAATATCCTCCGCATATTGGGTTTTCCGGAGTATATTGTCACGATATCCTCCGCCCGGAGTATATCGTAACGATATCCTCCGGATATTCATTTTGCCCATAAATATCAAATTTATTTTTTAATGTTATTATACATTTAGTACACTAAGTGTAGGATAATTATAGGATATCCTATGATTTTGAGTAATATCCTTTTTATCTACGAGGTGATATTGATATCTGCACGAGAGAGCAAAGCGAACGAGTGCATATATCAATATCACAGAGTAGATTAAAATGATATTCGGAAAAATTATAGGATGTACTTATTATCCATTCTTACACTTACAAGGAGTCAACTAAATGTATAATATCATTGCAAAATGAATTTCATGCCAAATAGAGTCAATTTGGCGGGAAATCAACAAGCGGAGTATATCGTCACAATATCCTCCGCATATTGGGTTTTCCGGAGTATATCGTCACGATATCCTCCGCATATTGGTTTTCCAGGTGTACATCGTGGCGATATCCTCCGGTTATTCATTTTGCCAATAGATATCAAATTTATTTTTTAATGTTACCATACATTTAGCACACTAAGAGTAGCATAATAAAGGATATCCTTTGATCTTTGACGGATAGCATTTCTATCCATGAGTGGATATCGCTCATCAGATGGCCTGGGCGATATCCATGACGTTTAGGACCCGACACTAGTATCAGGGGAAGTGCAAAAAAAGAGAGTTTTATGTCATCAAAGTTGTCTTTTTGAATGTTCCAGTCAATTGAAGCAATAATGAATCCAGTGGATTGTTCAAAAGTGAAATGTCTTTTGTGCGATTGGCCTTTTTAGGCATGGGGCCTTGGATCCTTGATTCACCAAATAAGTTATTGTTCCTCCGTTGCCTGTATTAAATGCTGGGATTTTCAATATACTGATTATACATTCTGGTTCGACCTGGAGAATTTTGAAAAGAGTAATGTTCAAGTCACTGGCAGATCCAGAAGTTAACAAGGGGCCAAATTTTGAGTCAGCGAAAAAACTTCCGCGCAAAAAAAATGTTTGGGCCCCTGAAGCCAAAAGTTCACTCTTAAAAATGAATTACTTGAGTATTTCCCCAGTATTTCCCAAGTATAAAAATTACTTAAAGTTAAATACTTAGTTTTACTTCATTTTACTTAGGTTTAACTTATATTGTCATTTTGAGTTTTTTAATTGCTTAATTATGTAAATGAGTATTACAATTACTACAGTAAGTATTTCAATTTCTCTCCTTGCATTAGTAAATTCACCATAAATGAATTACTTAAAAATTACTTAAAGATTATTCAGTATTTCAAGATTATTTAAATAATTTTTGACTTAAAATGAGTAGTACAATTTCTCAATATAAGGAAATCCAAGTAATAATTTTTAAGAGTGTTGGGACCAACTTATACCCAAAAAGGCCAATTTCTGGCCCCTACAAAATTTTTGGGCCCTAAAATTATTTTCTGGGCACACAAAAAGGGGGAGGTGGGTCCTATGCTTTGTGGGTGATTCACACTACCCTACCTCGATCGCGCATGCGCGAGATTTTTGGCTTTCAACCAGGTCGCTTTTGAGTATATCGACTGCTTAGTCAACAGGTTGATACATTTGGTGCTCGAATTTAAGTCAATATTGTTATTCGCTGAACTTCAATGGTGAAATAGTGAAGTCCATGTTCAAAGTTATACGATGGTTGAAGGAAGAATATAAATAATATCGTTTTACATTTTAAAATATTTGAGATGTCATAGTACAGGGTACAAACGTTTCAAAAGTTGATCAATACAGGGTGCAAGGAATGTAAATTGTTCAATAGTACAGGGAGCGAGAAAGTAAGCTGATTATACACAACGATTCGCTGGTTTTATACAAAAACCAATTCTGAGATAGTAAGTAATATACTAGAATCATGTTTTGCACAATAGTGTGATAGTATATTTTTGAATTACTTTATGTAATTGATCTAATCTTTATTTTCATACGAGTACAATAACAACGTACATGTGCCAATCATTATTTCTAATGCGCTTGATATCCTAATCCAGCGCGCGGTACATGGAGCTGTATTTGACATTCAAAACCAGAATATAATGAATAATAGAAGGAATGATACGTTCCATTGGAGTACATTGATGCATGAATGCATACAAGGGCCTCATTGGAATATTTCAAATGCTGTATATATGGAAATGCTTGCCAAAAACTGCAAAATAACTATATGTTAACTATGCGTTACGCGGAATATGGCATATATTCATGGTTGTGCGGTATTTGTGATACGGGTGAATATACCATACCCACCTGCAGTATATGGCATATTCCGCAGGTTATTATGGCATATTCTGCAGTCAATATAAGGTTGAGTGATGTCATATTTAATTTTTTCATCAAAACACGTTCAAGGACTGAACATTGACACATTATTGCATGCTTCAATTATATCATATTGTCGCAAGGTAGTTCCAAACGACCAATTTGGTTTAAAATACCCCATTCCTTGTTGATTACTGGCTAAGTAACAACAATAGACATTAGTGTAACGATTATCTAATGATTCTGCCAGGCAACTTGCATCTGCATACATGCTTTGTTGTAGCTCGTATACAAGACGACCGACATTAGATGAAAATGTCCCGATGAAATAATCACATTCTTTCAGTAGCAGAACATCAAGCATTATGAGATCTAAATCTGAAGAAAAGTAATTTGGTATATAAATTATGTTATACTGCGTGTAGTGTTCTTTGATCTGACCAATCAGCGTTCTGTCGTCTGATGCGATAAATATAGATGGCAGTTCGTGACTGGTCATCCTGAAACCCAATTGGTTGATATATGCATCAATGCGTTCAATGTATTTGTACGTTGGAATTGGTTCGGCTTCTCTGATCTTGTCACCGCGTCGTATGTGGACTCCAATAATTGGATGTACGAAACCTATCGCTCGTTTAAGATCCTCTAATTGTTGATAGAAGGACGGGGAAGGCTGGATGAGTATCCCATCAATTGCCCAATTACCCACAAAGCAGGTGATTGGTGAAGTTGGGTGAGTTTGTACCATAATTCACTATTGACCATTAAGTTTTCAGGAAGTGGCATAGGCCATGTTTTACTATTAGGGGCCCCACTCATCGTCAGTGATAACCACACGACTTGAACATTACTCTTCTCAATATTCTCCAGGTCATACCAAAATGTATAGTTTGTGTATTGGAAATCCCAGCATTTAGTACTAGGTTGCAACAAGTAATAGTCCCAACTTTGAGGAATGAAATTCTCTTGGGCTCTTATCAACAACACTCTCTTGGTCGCTAAGGCAACGGAGAAACAATAACTTATTTGGTGAATCATGGATCCAAGGCCCCATGCCGCAAGAGGCCATTCGCACAATAGGTACTTCGCATTTGAACAGTCCGCCGGGTTCATTATTGCTTCCATTGACTGGAACATTCTAAATGACAACTGAGATGAAATAGAATTGTCTGTTTGGCACTTTCCCTGATACTGATGTACTGAGGGGTCTCCAATATTCCTATGTGATCCAAGTTGATTCCAAGTATTTTGGCTGCCACTATGTGTCCTTTGTTGTGAAGTTTTGTAGTTTTGCATTTGGCTTAAAGGTGTGGTGTAACTGGATTTCATTGTCGGAATGTGATCACCCCATGTCCAAGCATAGCTGTACAATATGGTAAGTCCAAGCAAAACTAGAAAGAACACTTGAATCATCAATATTCGGCCAATACTCTGCATTTCAGAAATTAACAATCAAAGGTATTTAATTAAGCACTATACATGTATAGGTATCAATGTATGTATTATCCTTCAACAATGTTATGCATGAGTTCTATGTGCATATTAGAATAAAGCAGATCTCAAACATATGCAGTAAATAATTCCTCAATCCTCATTTAGTATATTCAAATATCTTGCTCATTCACAAACATGACAATGCATGTCCCATTATAATGACTGTAGAGTCATAAATGTCATAAACAAAGAAAAATCAATATATGATATAATATATGTATTTTCTAGGGAATTTACTATCTAATAGACTAACTTTCTCACGGCTTATCATTGACTACATACAGTGACAGAATAAACGGGTGTACACTTTAGATGACAGTACGTTGTTATTTCCGCTATTTTGGACCGCCATTTTATTTGTGTTGCATGATTTTAAGGTGACGTCCCCAAAAACTCATTGTGTACGAGTATCGTTTATTTGACCGTATTGAAAAACATTTGTTTTATTGGAAAGAGTTTATGCTTTTATGCTAAATAATTTGTTGATAGTTTCCCCTAGCTCGTACCTAATAATTCCAATATAAAAATATGACTTACAATACATGATTCGTTATTGCAATTCAAACATGACTCTGGTCAATGATGAAGTATGGTTGACAAATAAATGATCTAAAGAATTTACCAAACCCACATAGACATGATAGATATACTTGTATCATATCTTAATGTCCTTTTATATTTCAATTTTATCATATCACTCAAAGCCCCGCTTCTAACATGAGCTCATTACTCGGGATGTCAGCGGGGCCTACTGGATGGTCCCTGTGTAATTGACAAACTGTACATTGCTTTAATTTGATTAATTCGATTGAGTGTAATACATGTTTGAGGAAAATAGATGCAACAATCTCTCCAAAAATGATGGACGGACAGTAATCTTTTAAAAATGTGTAACACAGCCTCCCTTTTGTCTGGATTATGACCACTTCCACTGCTTCTCTATGATATCCCTTAAGGTCAGGGCCACTTTGATGAAATTTCATGACCATGTGCTATTTTCAGATAAGCAACTAATTCCACACATCATCTACATCTTTCATTCTTGCACAAAAGATGCATTAGTGCACCTAGACTATTAATTGAGGGTTGATAATTCTTAGAGAATGTTTGAATAACTAGAATATTCAGTGGTTTACTTTTCAAAAATGCAAAAAAATTCCAAAGTGCACCCTGGCCTTAACAAACTCAGCAGTACTGTGGAATACTGATCTATACAGTGCGTATCAAAAAAACGCAACAGATTGTTATCTCGGAAAAGCACAAAACCAGTGATAACAGCATTGATTTTATTCTAGCACCATAAAGCCATGTGTACTTTACAATGATATATCATTCATTGATATTTGGTGATGGTTGGGCCGCGGGCGAGTAATCATTCCATTTGCAAAGTGGGCCAAAATTAGCTTGGGACCAAGTTATAAACATCGCAAAAGTCAGTGTACGGAGCCCGATACAATATTTGAAGAAAATATATAAACAATGCCGACTGCATCATTTTCATTCAATGTACCAAAAAGCCAAATTACTCCTCTTTGCAATGGAATATCATTCATTCACAGGGAGCCATCTCTGGCCGAATAATCATTAATTTTGCAAAGTGGGGCAAAATTCAGCTCGGACCCAAGTTTGAAACATTGCAAAAGTCAGTACAAGGGGCATAGGGGCTATTCGAAGAAGGTGTGGCACAGACCCTATACCCCTCCAAATTGCCACCACTTCCTTCCACATAAAGATGCGCTCATCTGTCCACGTCATACATGGTTCAGCCCTGAGTCATCTGTGGGTTAAAGCAGAGAAAAGCAGCCCATAGGAAGTTCTTTCTCGAGGTTTTGCTATATCTGGTGGAGGAATTGTGAGCACAGATGCTCCTGAGATAGCTCCAAAAGAAAAAGTGACAACAATTCAAGTCAGGGGAACTTCCATTGGCACTTAGCCCTTGCACTGATTTTTTCAATATCTAAAACTTGGCGCAGAGCCGATTTTGACCCACTGTGCAAATGGAAGGATTTCTCGCCCAACCATTACCACATGTGAATGAATGACATATCATTGCAGAGGAGAGACGTGGCTTTATGATACGTTGAATGAAATTGATGTTGTCATCACTAGTTTTGTGATTTTACGAGATAACTACTTGCGTTTTTTTTTGATACGCCCTGTATAGGAATAATTTACGATTAATATTTTGACAAGCAACCTGCCTTAGGATGCAAGTTTAAAATCCAGTTTTACACATTACTGCTTAAGCCATTCAACATCAAAACATTGATTCTCGTTCCAGACTGTTTTTAATTTATTTTGTATAATATTGTACAGAGAAAGATGAAAATGTCTATTTCTTCTTGGACACACCAACAGTTCTTCCACGACGTCCAGTGGTCTTTGTATGTTGACCTCTCACACGGAGACTGAAAATATAAAACACAAATGTTTTTATGGGCTATATAAATACATTAATTGATCAAAAATTGGAAACAATAAACATGTACCAAATGCCAACAAGGCATTAACATGCAAATGTCACTACCTGCTATTTGTTACAGAAGCTTAACACCAACCATCGAATACTGTCCACAAAAATATGTCACAATTTGGGATGGCATAAAAAGGATTCACGAATGTCTCTTAACACCTAGATATAATATCTATAATTCGATCAAAATTTTATATTGGCTGCCACTTCAAGATTCTGATAAAGAAACAATTTGACCAGACAGTTATCTCCCCAGGATTTTTTCTCAGGTGGGTGCAAAATTCTCATTTTCACGATTCAGACCAAAATTGGTCAAAATATGCCAATTTTTCATGCTTTTTCTCAATTTCAAGTTGGTGCAAATAGATTTTCAGGTGGGTGCAAGCCTATTTTCAAAATCTCAGATGGGCTATGCACCCGGTTGCTTTCATGCTGGGGAGATCACTGCCGGCCTAAATACAATGTTCCTAGGTCATCAAAAATTAAGTAAACAAAGTTTTTTTCATGAATTGAAAATTACCTTTTTGAACATGTGTAGGACTAAATGATATATACAAAATATGTAAATAAGAGTTTGCATACCCCCAGTAATGTCGGAGACCTCTGTGAGCGCGGATCTTCTTTAGTCTTTCAAGATCCTCACGGAGTTTGTTGTCAAGGGCATTGGAGAGAACCTAAATGAAAACAACAATTATTAAGTATGCTATAACAAAGGGACAAGCTGTGTTTTCAATAACGCCGTCCAAGAATTGAAAAAACGCAAAGAAAAATTGTTGGACCCGGAAATAATAATGAACTACGCTTTTGGACGCAGTGCAAGTCATATGCACAAAATCAACTTTGGATGAATGATTTGATAAAGATCTTCATTCTCTTTATTTCTTCAGAATCCACTAAACAATTGAAGGAAATTCTATTTCTAAAAGAAATAAAGTTTTCTTTCGAAGTTTCGTTCCGGGAAGTTGATTTCTGATAGAAATAGTACAAGGCATGTGATAGGACAAATAGTTATCCAATACTCGATTTCTGAGCAGTAATCAGTACGAGTCCTACAATTGGCCACTAGCTGAAAACCTGATTTAAACGATTTTCTATTGGTCAAGTGAGATCATTATTTAAGAATGTGCAAGAAACTGAACCAAAAAATGGAACCTCGCGCAGATTGCCCCTAAAGCAAGATATTCTGAGCCATCAAAATCAAATTGCTTCGAAATACGCAAAGGAAATGTGTGTTTAATGGTTGAATACGAGTTATACCTCACAAGTGATGGTATCTGTACCATTCAATGACATACTAGACTTGCTAAAACGCTGTTTTAGACCGATAAATAGCAAAAGCGATAAAAATATTCATCAATTGTATTTCGCCCAGTGTAAAAACGTGACTTTGAATTCACAGGAACATTTTTTCAAGGGATGTAGTTTTTTAGGGGAAAACTGCTGAGGCTCTGAAACCACTCAATCAATGGTGGTAGGTCAATTAAACCTATTGTAGCCCAATTATTTTTTTGATTTTTTTTATTGAATTTTTGTCACTCCCAGTTTCATAAAAAAGTAGGGCATGCGCTTATGCCTGGGTTTGCTCTGATCCATTGGCCGGTGCCTGCCGGATTGAGTGTTTTGTTCAATATTGTATTCGATTTTGAACAAAATACTCAATTGGCCGGGCGCCGTAGTAAAAATCGGAGCAAATGTGACCACAGCATTACGTGTATCTATTAGAGAAAAATGGTACGAAAGTTCTGCATAACATAATGGGCAAAACCAGAAAATGTAGGAGACTACTCACCTGGCCTGTCTTGCCATCTTTCACATCTCTCTGTCTGTTGAGGAACCAATCAGGGATTTTGTACTGTCTTGGGTTCATCATTACAGTTTGGATCTTCTCAACCTGGAAAATGTGGATCATAAAAACTTGGAAAATGTGAAGCAGCAAATCTTCAATCACAAGACAATAACATGCAAAATGTTGCCACCTGTCATTTGTACAGACGTCAAACACCAACCGCAAAACTCCATCCACAAAATGTTGGAGACTACATTTGCTTAGAATTGTCTGTGATCTCCCTAGCATAAAAGCTAGCAGGTGCTGCACCCACTTGAGAATCCATTTGCACCCACTTGAAAATGAGTAAAATGTGGAAAAATAGGTATGTTTTGAGGAAATTTGGTCTAAATTGTTTAATTTTAAGAATTTTGAACCCACTTGAGAAAACAAAAGAGAACTTCCGGTAATGATCAATCACATATTTTCTCCTCAATTTGTGCAATTTGGTTCGCTGAATGTAGTCGCTACGCTAAATAGTACTTTACATTGAACCGAATAGAATAAGTGAGGAGAAAATATAATATCTGTCATTACCGGAAGTTCCTCCGTTTGTTAAGTTAAGGTCACGGTGCATGTTCGGAATTATGCTGCAACCCTCAATAGGGTCACGTTATTTTTCAAATTTGAATCTCTCCTTCCCCACAATGTCTACATCTCTCACTTTTGCACAACGAGTGCACTAATGTACCTAGAAAAGAATGTAGAGAAGAATGTTTTGATAAATTGTATAAAAAACAAGAAAATTCTCTCGTTTTTATAATTTTACAAAACAAATCTTCTCACCAGTCTTTTCTTGGCACACAAGTGCACTCTTTGTGCAAAACTGGAAGATGTAGACAATGTGGGGAAGGAGTGATTCCTGTTTGAAAAATATCATGCGACTCAATTGAGGAATGCAGTAAAATTCGGAACATGCACCCTGGCCTTAATTCCGTAACCTCTGGAAGATTTCATAAATTTCCATGATGGAAACTTGGAAGAAAAGGCACAAAAACACCTAAAAACGTGCAGCATTTCATGAACAGAGAATTGAGATGTGAATGGAGAATTGAGATGCAGGAAACATTTGTAGATCCAAAGTAAGCCATTGAAATCAACTATTTAAACGTTAAGAATATATCCTGCGATTAAAGCCTGTTCTACAGATCAGAGATGAATTCTAAATAGCTAAATTCCTACCTCTTCATCGGATAATTCTCCAGCCCTCTTAAAGGGATCAATGTCTGCCTTCTTCAACACGATGAATGCATAACGACGGCCAATACCCTACAATAGAAAAACACTTAATGAACAAAAGATTATCAAGATGAAATATTGTGACCAACGGGTGATCTGTATTATAAGCATGATTATGCACTTATAGGTGTTTATGCAAATGTCTTCTCGCGCTATTGTATAATAAAAACAAAATATACACTGTAACACAATTGTTCTCATCAAAAAGGAATGTGTGAATATTACAGACATAACGTACCTTGATTGCCGTCATGGCAAAGGGAGTTTTACGTCTTCCATCGATGTTCGTATTCTGAATACGCAAAATATGCTGGAACTTCTCTGGGATGACCAGTGACTAAAATAAAAAAATTCCCAAAATAATCACAAAACAATATATATCAAAACAAAAGATATCAATAAAGTTACGTCTCTTGACATTTTTCCTATCTTTGTCACTGCTATGATACTTTATTGTTCTTATGCACTTAGCTTGAAATAAATTTTTGAGAAATTATTTTTTAATTTTTCAGAGCCGTCTTTTCAAGACGAATTTCTACCTAACTTCAAGAGATATAAACCACAAACGAAGTCAATATAATAATTTATATTTAATGCATCCAAAAATACCATTTAAATAAGACAAAAAGAATTACAAGGGTGCAGATTATGGATGATTTTAGACAAGTTTTGTGAAATTTTACAAACCATGATGGCGACTAAACCGGAAAAGGAAGTTACTACACTGCGCATGCGCGAGGGGAAGATCTCTGAAAATATTTAGAAAATGTCAATAAACTCTGCTATTTTGACGACTTAGCCACTCACACACGGGTTAGTTAGCATTAAAGAGTGCCTTTCATATATGGGCTGATGAACAATTTTAAGATGAGTTAAGTTCAATAAGTCAGAAGTCATAATGATGGTTTCGATCAACGTTTCAGAAATTTATTTCTTTTTCTTTCACTCAGTTTCAATCTTTCTTTCAATGTCCATCTTTCCTACTTGATCGGTTCAAGTAAATAACCTATGGACGCAGTAATTTGACTTTTAATACGGCAAATATTTTTCACTTGATCCGGGGAGACCTTATCTGTTGCAAGACTAACGCCTGGCGTAACCGTCACCATGTTATTAAGTAGCGCAAGGATCCTGCCATAACCGTGGTAATGTTATCGTGAAAGCCTGGTATAACCGCGACAATGCTGTATTATATTGCAATGCCTGCCATGACCATGACAATGTAATATAGTTCCGCAAGGCTTGGCATGACCGTGACAATGTAATATAGTACTGCAAGGCCTGGCATGACCATGACAATGTAATATACTGTAGTACTGCAAGGCCTGGCATGACTGTGACAATGTTATATAGTTCTGCAAGGCCTGGCATGACAATGTAATATAGTATTGCAAGTTCAGGTATGAGAGTGGTAATGTAGAAATTTATGATTGCTTTAAGTGACCGTGACAATGTGTATTTGAAAACCTGGCATGACCGTGACAATGTATCATGGGATCACAAAGGCTGGTATGACCTTGACAATGTAATATAGTATTGCAAGGTCAGGTATGAGGGTGGTAATGTAGAAATTTAGGCTTAGTCCTACTATGACCATTATAATGTATTGCAATGACTAGTAAATATGTATGACATTAATGCCAGGAATATCCTTAACAGTTTCAAGTGATCGACATAACAATTAGTGTATAACATGAAATATTGCCGTGGATATAAAGTTGCCGATTGCCGAATGTAAAAGAGAAACGGCAACATAAAATTCGGAAATATAATTAAGTATAATTGAAGATCGATCTTAATGGGCGATAATATGGTAGTTGTCTAACGTGCGTCAACTTACTGTAATTGTGTAATTTTCGAACGAGTATCAATGATAAAATCAAAGCTTTATTCCCCAGCATAAAATTACAATAAAAAGTTAATAATAAAAATGTTGCAATTAAAATGCATGCAGTAAAATCTATAAAATATTAAAAGGATTGTCATCACGGTGTATAACCCAAACGCTCCTACATGCACGACGGAGCGTTTCATTTACGCGGAAACGCTCCGGAGCGAAATAAAATGGCGGCTAATGAAGATTCTACTATGACCGTAAGTATTGTTTCTCTCGTTTCTCTTACATATCATATGTCATGGTGAAATATTATGTAGTGTTCTCCCCAAAAAAAATTTTCAACTGGGTGCAAGATTTCAAGTCTAAAAAAATCAGCACTTGCTACGCTCACAATATCTCAGTGTAGGTGCTTACTTCACTCATTCTTTAAATCAGAAGTTGAAGTGCAGATGCCAACTGGGTGCCAACTGGGGGGCCTTTGGTTTCAAGTAGGGGGAGCCCCCGGTAAAAGTGACATGGGGAGATCACTGTATTCGATGAACGATACTGTGAGCAAAGATCTTATTTATTCAACTTCTGGTGGTAAACTGTTATTTGCTTGATCAAAGCTCCGTAGTGTAGATCGAACGAATCTGAAGATGACGATTTGACCACAAATTACGAATTAAACTAGTATTTCTATGAAAACGTTAATCTTTCTGTTTAAGTAGTAGATCACAAACTCGTATATTCTCATTTCCTAAAATCCCAGTCCAAATCCATTACTTGTTCTCGAGAAATCGCTTGTTTTCCTCGAAACGCTCCGTCGATTTAGAACACAATTTTAGAAACGCTCTTACCATTTTGTTTTGATATCATTTTCAGATTATTAGAGAAAAGTTCCGAATCGAATCTATCTCTCAAAAACGTGTTGTACTTGTTAGGCAAATTGAAACATCTGAACCTGGTGGTGCTAAACGTGCAACTAGCTGATTAAAGCCTATACATTAGATGATGTCATGCCTACATATGTGCTAAATCATAAAACTATAGAAAAAACGAAAAGTTATATGTGAATTAATCTTTCTTCTATAGATGCCAAGGGGTATAATAGATCTTTTCTTTCTCTTCTTGAAAAGGAAAGGCAAGCTATATATTTCCTTAACTGATCTAGACTACCGGAGCGTTTCCAATTCACTGTGTTAACCAGATCGGAGCGTTTCTTGAATATGAGAATGTCATCATTTTTAAGACTGGATTTTCGGTCATCAAATCACTATTACGATAATGTATGGTGCGTTGAAGCATTGGAATTTGACTAAAATATACGTTTGTGCTCTAATCTTGGCTCAACTAATCACATGTATCGACAAAAGGGGTTTTGACCGGTAGAATGACAAATACGTTTTTGAATTTTGATAACTATACTGCTTCGTACAGCTCTTCCTAATTGCTTCAAACGTCAACAGCCAGCCACGTACAACATGAAAATCACACCCATCGAATGGTATACTCGAAATATGTAACTCATACCTCTTATTCCCATTATTGGGGAAATTGTCAGACGGCTCATCATTCCCGCCAGACAGTTTTCCTACTCCGGAGCGTTTCTTTGTTTAATTTCAGTAATGAAACGCTCCGTCGTGCATGTAGGAGCGTTTGGGTTATACACCGTGGTCATGTTAAAGAGTTAAAATGTCAGAAGATGTAATTGTATCCAAGTGCTTTGGAAATCCCAGTATTAAAAGTTTTTAATCCCAATATTAAAAGTTTTTAATCCTGGTATTAATTTTCCTGAGTCTATCAAATGTGGGTATTATGTGAATAAATCACTCAAATTGTCACTCATAATGTCAGGATGTCAGGTTTTCTGAGTCAGTCAAATGAAGGTGATTAAAATTCAATTGTAAATCAAAATTATATTAGGGGTGTCAGCTTAGCAATATTTTATTTGGCTTTACATTTAGGGGTGTCAGGTCAGCAAACTTTTATTCGGCAATAACAATTTTAATCCAATTCGGAAAATAAATCATCCGGATTTAATACATGTTATACAGTAAACAGTTTAATACTATGATCATGGTGTTTAACTACCTGAATCATGTCAAAATCAAAATTACTACTATACCAGGTCGTTCAATAAGTTCACGGAAAAACGCTCTCATTTCAAGGATTTTTGATATTTTCTCATGAAATTTTCACACTTGTATAAAAAATACTTTCTGATTGATTCTTAAAATATCAGCATCTCTTATTCGATTGGTCAAAAATAAGGGTTACTATGGTAACTTGACTTTTGGGTAGGCGGGGCACTTTTTACGTCACATTATTCATTAGAAAAACAATAGAATAGTAGGCAATTTATGAGTATATCACATGAATTTCTTCTCCGCTTTCTACTTGTACATGATATTACTTAATGTAATAATAGTAACAACTATTGTCCCATAAGGTTTTAGAAATATTCTCCCTCATGTTAGTGCACAGTAGGTTGCATTCAAGCCATTGACGAGACAATGCTCTGAAGTCGAAAACTTGTTTGAAGGGCAATCTGGACTGCAGTCGAAAGTAGTTTCATTGTTTCATAAAGTGCACCTCTTACCTGATCCTTCATCCTAGTGAAAACAGCAAAATCAAAGTTGTCTCATATGGAGAGCATGTAACTTGGGGCAGCTTTGCCATCTATTTTGCCAGTTATTTGTGATGGTTTCCTGCACAATATTAGCAGTGTAATTGGCTGCATTATTCTGATGGAAAAATTTAGAGTTCGGCTGAATGGAAGTTTTAATCAACTTACCATAGCATTACTTTGTTGATTTTCTGGTCCACTGGTACAGCATTGACTAGCACAATTTCAGAAATGTTAGTGAAAACAATGAACATCAATTATCTCCCTAAAAATTTTTAAAGATTTTGAGAATCGATCAGAAAGTATTTTTTAAACATTGTGTGAAAATTTTATGGGAAAATATCAAGAATCTTTGAAATGAGAGCATTTTTACGTGAACTTATTGAACGACCTGGTACATTAATATTCACATTTGCTTATAAACCACAATATAGGCTACAGTCACGCCAGGCTTCCACGATAACACTTCCAGGGTCATGACAGCCCTTGCAATATAATACAGCATTGTCACGGTTATACCAGCCTGTCACGGTTATACCAGGCTTACACGATAAAACTTCCAGGGTCATGACAGCCCTTGCAAAATAATACAGCATTGTCACGGTTATACCAGCCTGTCACGGTTATACCAGCCTTACACGATAACACTACCACAGTCATGGCAGGATCCTTGTGCTACTTAAAAACACAGATTAACATGGCGACGGTTGTGGCAGGCGTAAGTCTTGCAATAGATAGCATGTGGATCCGGGCTCTTGTGTGTCCAGATCTCATTGTAATTCTGACGTCACATTTCTGGAATCACGGGACCACCATTCAGATTTGGACAGACAAGAGCCTGACAATATAATTATAAATATCACTATTTTGACCTCTTATCAACGCAGAATTGCTTGAATATCGTTCATTGGTGATCAGAAAGGTTAAAGAATAACAAGACGCTTCGGATGAGGTATGATTTGTCTCATATTTTTCTGAATTGGCTGCACAATCGTCATTTTAAAATTTCGAATTTTTTTAGTGTCTCATCTGGAGGAATATTAATTGAGCTACTGATTCTACTACAAAAGAATCTGGCCGGGATCTATGCTTGCACTTAAGATACCTACTTCAATAGATTCCTGGGTATTTTAGCATTCTTTTCATGTAGTTGAATCCCCAATTATCTGGGTTTATCGGTAGAATGGAAACATTTTTCTTTTTCATCGAGAAAGATTCCATCACTTTTCAAGATGGCTGTTGGATTTAAAAGGGGATTCCCCGTTTGACTGGCCCAGAAGTGGCCCGGAAGTACCAATAGATATAGAGGAATTTGATGGTTGAAATAAGTTAAATATTACATGCAAATATTGCGATTAAAAACAAAAATTTCTTCATTCTGCCGATAAACCCAGATAATTGTGGATTCAACTACATGTAAAGAATGCTAAAATAGCCAAACTAGAAGCAATCCAAGATATACAAATGTAATTTATGTACAATAGGAATATTTTTTTCCATATATTATTCCACAATGATCTTTTGATTTCTTATTTTTTAGGCTTTACTGACAAAATAAAACAATGAAATGGGCTGTATGTCCCCCGCCTTTGTTAGCTTATATGGCAAACTATCAAGGCAACTTCCAAGTCGTCAAATGATGTGATTGTGATTTGAGATTTGACGAATCACATAAACTATGACGTCAGTCACAAAATTATTTACTCCATCCAGCAACTATAAACAAACAAATAATCGTAACGTCACACATCTCTGTTGGTTCTATATTAACATGTGATGTCATTAAAGAGGCTCTATGCCATAGGATAGCACAATCAAGACCCCTCTGGACTTTTTTTCCATATTGAGTTTCACCGCATATTCACCCATCTACTTACCATAGAAAAAGTCCCAAATCCCCCTTTCAGTGTAAATTTTGCGATTGTGCTGGCCAATCTAATTATTTTCGCGGAAATTAATCAATCTGAAGTTTGAATATACTGGGAAAGTCCTCCTATTATCTGATTGGTTGTTGAATTTGTTTATCATGAACCTGATTGGGTGCCTGGTTCAAGGCGCTTGCGTGACTCAATGGGGATCCCCCTCGCTAGCCAAGGAATCGATAGTGTTTAATTCTGGAGGTTGGTTGTTCTGTTGATTATTACAATATTTCGGCAATAATATACCCAAAAGTTATTCTCAAGATATATCCATGTAATGGTATGTAAGATATTATATGAGCAATAACAATCGGACATCATTGATTGTCTGGGGGAGAAACCTATGGTATAATGCATCTTTAACATGTTACCTAACCAACAACAAAACAAGCATTTACTTTGTTCATTGCTGTTCTCCGTGATCTTTTCATAAGAAGTGGATCAGTTTTCTCCATTAGCATATTAGAGGCTGACGGTAATTCCAATTATACGGTTTCGGTACGGAATTGAGCATTTACCGGTATTGAAATTATTAACCGGTTAACCGACGATAATCCCCGGGGAAATAGAAGACACGTCGTTTTTTAACTATTTAGTTAATTTCCACTTTCACGATGCGTACATTTACATAGACATTTAGATGTCCATGTTTGGCAGTTCAGGTGTGATTTCCATGTTTGGCAGTTCAGGTGTGATGTCCATGTTTGGCAGTTCGGGTGTAGTAGCTTCATGCTGATCAGGCTCAGATTTGGTTGTAGTTATGTTTGGCAGTTGCGGTGTTGTTGTAGTGTCAATGTCAGATCCAGAAACTGAATTATGTTTGTAAGCTTAATAGTCATTTACGAACAACAAGGCATTGACAACCTCAGGTTGAAGTCGTGCCCGTTTTTAAGTGATGGTGTTGCCAGCTGCACTGAACTGGTGTTCACTTGACACGGATGACGCAGGAATAGCATGATATGTTTCAGCCAAACTCGCCACATCAGGATGTTTTCCTCCGTTTACTTTCCAGAACTCAAAACAGTCAATAAAATCTATTTTACCTACCCCACCCCCAAGTATACTGCACGTCGCTTGCTATTGATACAGTTGAGAAATGGTTTGAAATGTGTAATACATTTAATTTAAAACTAAAAATACATCTTGATTCGTAAGATAGTTAAATACTATTTCCTGAAGTTCATCAGTATGGGTTCAAATCGGTCTTGCACCATGTATGCATATAAACTTGAGAAGCTACGGAGAGAGTTAGGAACAAAAGTGGGGGTGGCAGCGCAATGGCATTTTATCTTACATATTTTTACCGGTATTTCGGTAACGGTACGGTTATTAGCGTGACGGTTACCGGTACTGGTTTTCAGTACCGTTGCGACCTCTATAGCATATGGCCTTCGTATTTTTCTCGTGAAATTCACTGGATAATCTTGTTTCAGTTTTTTCAGAAAATTTTCTGTTCCAGTGCCTGAAAAATCAAATTATACCTCGCTTATCTTAAAAAATATTATAATATTTAGTTTACATTTTTAGAATCACACACTTAAATTTTCCAGATAATGCTATGAAGTACAGTGTATACTGCTTGAATACTAGAAACTGATGCACTTCAAAACTTACATATAGTATAGTATACATCACAACCTCACAATGGCCAGTGACGATACAGAACAGGAGGTACATGTTAGATTTTATATCAAATTTCCACATCATTCCTTTGATAATTGCATATAATTTGACATTACATAATAATATAGTAAGTTTTCAGAAATGTATCGAAAATAATGTAACAAATCACCTAAAATAAAAACTGGAGAGAGAAAATGAAAAGGATTGAACTTGTTTTTGTCCACCCTGTATTCATCAATTTTTGTGAGGTCATTGAAATATATATAAACCTGTATAAGATTGCTTTTACAAAGAAAAATTATCTGCTAAAATAACTATTAAAGTCATGAAAAATACACGTCTGGTGATCCACTCGATTAAGCTGGTTACCAAAACGGTTCATTTTGGTAACAAAATGTCGGAACGTCGAAGGTACGATTTTTCTTTTTTCCTTAATTCACGCGTTGTAGGCAGAATCCCCACGACGTTTTTGATTTAATTCCTCACTTAAGTTACATAAACGGTTTTAGTTAAAAGTGCAGATCTTAACTGTTTTTCGAAAAACTGTTTATGTAACTTAAGTGAAGAATTAAATCGACGATTCTGTTGTCTTCTGAACTATTTGTTCGCACATATGTACATTTTCTTAAACATATGATACTGATACACGTTTGTGTTAAAAAATGTCGTGGGAATTCTGCATACAACGTGTGAAATAAGGAAAAGAAAAAAATCGTACCTTCGACGTTCCAACATTTTGTTACCAAAACGAACCGTTTTGGTAACCAGCGTAATCGAGTGGATCACCAATGAAATAGCTAATGAATGATGAAACATATTTTCAAAGTTTGTTGATATTTTTAGACCCTGGATGTAAACAACCTTAACTTCAGTGACCTTGACATCACATCTGAGGACTTTTGGCTTGAAGAGGTTGATGGTAAGACCTAACTTTACTTTGGAGCATTGTAGTTTATGTTTTAGTTGCCATATACAGGGTGATCATATAGTAAGATCAAAAGTGCTTCACTATTTGTAAACATTATGAACCTGGCTCATTTTCTCACATAATGTTGATCTAATAATCAATTATACATACACAAGATAAATTCAGTGTTCTATGGTAACCATGTCGACCCAATAGTTAGAGCACTTTTGATCTTACTTCATGGTCACCCTGTATGTAGTAGAACCCAGTGGTTGAAATGAATAGTAAATTCTCTCCTATGCATTACAACAAAGTAGTTAACATTTCATTTCACCCTTCCTATTTCACCCTAATGTGAACATGTAATGAAATTTATTTGAATTGAATGTCATACTCGTAGTCTATGAATTCCAATGTAATTCAATGAACTATGCTGTTAAAATTATTTTTTTCAAATATTTTATGCACTAAAACGATTTCTTGACTATGGTATGGATTATCTTGTTTCAGTTCACATACAAAAAAATCTTGAGGATGAAATAGTTAAAGAGGCATTGAAAACAGTAAGTATGACATGGATATCTTGTTCAAATAATCCCTTCGGGTATATGCTCTTTCAATTTTGAGAAATAATATCCTCCCATATTAAAAATCAAGATTAAAATCCATCGATAATTTTCGAATGATAGCTCATTCGTCCAATGTTACTTCTTTCTATGCTTGCTGTGGGTTGTTGATTTTATGGAATTGTGTTTCTCCATTACCATGGTTACCTTATGATTGCCACATTGTACTTTATGATTGCCACATTGTTTATCATAATTGCAACATTGTACATTATACCATATAATTGCCCCTTTGTACCTTATAATTGCCAAATTGTATCTTGTAATTGCCACATTGTACCTAATGACTGCCACATTGTTTATCATAATTACCACATTGTGTGTCATTGCTTAAATCTGGACATTTTGTATTGTTATTACCACATTGTGAATGCTGATTGCCACATTGTATTTTACTATTTAGTTGGCATCTTGCACATTGTTACTGGCGCATTGTGTAATATTATATTTGCCACATTGTATGTTTCAGGGAGTGGACCTTCGCCAGTACTCCAGAGAAGTTGAGAAAGAACTCCTTGATGTTGAGAATGCATCAATTCAAGATTGTATCCTTTGTAAAGTTCATGTAAAGTTTTCCTCAAAACTCAGACCACTAACTTATTACATATAATCCCTAAGTGTGTATGTCTTGATTTAGGAATAAAGATTGTAAGATTTATGTTATAATATTTGACCCCCCTGGCCCAAAACCAAAATGTTGTAGGGCCTCAATAAGTGGGCATTACTTGGCCTTTCTTGGGCCAAATTATTTTAAAATTTGCCTTAAATTTTCAAAAATTTTTCAAAAAAATCTCTCCTCCAATTTTTTTTATTTTTTGAAATGTGCTCCCCCTTATTAGCTTCTTGACCTGCCAGTGTGACGCCTGTTTAAATGTCACCACAAAGAAGTATTGACATCGTAAGATTGTTATTGACACTATTTTTTGCCAAACATGCATTTAGGGATTTTTACACTTGTAAAAACAATAAGGTGGTATTTGGTCATGATACTCAGATTTGTTTCTGATTGATGTTAAAATAATGTCAAATAGAACGTACTCAGGCCCGTAGCCAGGATTTGCCAAGGGGGGGTTCAGTTTTCAAAAATTTCCAGGGGGGGTTCACATTTGACAATTTTGGCCCAAATATGGCTAAAATCACTTGAAAAGTGCTCAAAATGGTGAAAAACTGCATGATTTTGAAAGAATTTTTGGCCAGGGGGGGGGTTCGCCCGAACCCTGCGAACCCCCCCTGGCTACGGGCCTGGTACTTGAAAGTTCCTTGACTGACTTAAGATATCAAAGAGGGGCAGAATATTGCAAGCCTCCACAAACAGATTGCTGCCTGTGATACTATTCTGGAGGTTAGAACAAATAAAGCTTTAATTTACAACATTATAAATTCATTTGCAAGTCTAGTTATTACAAGTGACCCCCACTACCCACTCATTGAGTAGTGGGGGGTCAGTGGGTATTGGGGGGTAGTGGGGGTAGATTTACACAAAATCAAATTACTATATGGACATACCAGTTGTTTGCGTTATTTTTTTCTCTATTTGAAACTAAGATTGAAACTAAGATTGACTGGATTTCTTTAGCACCTTGACAAATACCTAGTTTTCAATTGAAGAGTTTGGCTCTTATTAATTGTTTTCTGAAATCAGATTTATGCAGTCTTAACCCACATTTTTAAAGGAGGTTTGTGATTATTTTCAACTGCTATTACTTATATTGCACAAACTCCCTGTTATTATTCCAGAGAATGGAGTCAATGCTGCACACATTCCAAAATGATTTAGGGAGTATAAGCAATGAAATACAAAGTCTTCAGGAGCAGTCAATAGCAATGAATGTGAAGTTGAAGAATCGACAGGCTGTAAGAGGAGAGCTGAGTGAATTTGTTGATGAAATGGTTGTCCCTGAATCAATGATTACGTGAGTCGAGTTTTGGAATATTTAGGTCAGCTGTACAAATTAAGGGTCTAACGGTCAACCGAAACTGAGGGACTCCGCAGTTCTTTGGCCTCGGTCTGTACATTCGGTTCGAAAATGTTATGGTTTGGTTTTTCAACAGTTCGTTAATTCAGAAAAAGATTGCCGTTCGCAAAAATATTGACTTTCGCTAAAGTGATAAATCCCGTTCATAAAGCTTTTTTTCTACTAAAAACATGGTCAGAATAGAAGAATAAAAAGTGATGAACAATTTTAAGTGAAATAGCGAGATAATCATCAGTATTTGGAAAAAAACACTGAACAATCATTTCAATTTTACCGTGTGCAGAAACGTACGGAGCTGGGCAATTCTTAGGAGGCTATTTAGTACTTTTTGAATTGACCGCACTGCCATCTTTATAACTTCATGAAAATATTTTGAAGTCCAAATTCATTCATATAACTAATAACAATCAGACACCTGTACTGTTTACAACTGCATAAAATTGATTCTACAGATATATTTGAATAATATATATTGATTTATTTTAATGTTCATTAATAATTAATATTGTATTATTTGTTGATCCTCATTGTCAATAGACTTAAGAAGTTCATTATGTTCCCTTTAAAGAAGTTCAATTCAAAAGATATGCAAAGTTCCCCTTTTAAAATACTGATCTCTACAAACTCTGAAAAAAGCTTGTAGGTTAATACATAGTCTAGCAGTAATAACAGTATTTTTTTTTATTCCAATGTTATGTAGTATTCTGCACATTCGATGACCAATTTTATAAACAGGCCTCATTTGCCATTGACAAAATGTTCGCTGTTGTTTTATGAGTATTCTCTACAAGTTTGGATCGAGTAACCTTAATAGTATTACCGTAGTTTTTAAATGATGATGTTGAAATGATATTAATTGAAATAAACACCTTTTCCACGATTTCAAATGTTACTTTACGCATGCGCAGCACTGTATGAGCACGTGCTCATGATTGTTCACATGATCACATCCTGCAATTTGATTGGACGTCATATAATGGGGAATCCCCGAATACAATATAATCTGAAAGAATTGTCGGAGCTACTCACTTCTTCTGGTTATTAAGCATACAGGTTTATTGGGAAATCTAACAAACTCGACACCTACTGACAATGCAATGAATGACTCCCAATTGATTGTTACCACCACAAGTGATGACAATTATTGTTATTGTGGATGGTTTTCAGTGGTTTGTGTTCGATGGTTGGCATCTGTAACAAATGGCAGGTGGTTACATTTTGCCGATGCTAACCACCCTTGAAATATTTCTGTTTGAATTGTTGCAATGCATCATTAATAGTGTTTATGTGCTAAAATCAACCTACTGCATTATAGGCACATCCTTGAGACACCAGTGACTGAGAGAGGCTTTTTAGAACAACTACAGGAGCTCAATCACAAGATCACTTTTGTCAAGGAACAGTCATTCAAGGAAGCCAGATCATGTGGGGATGTCAAGGACATATTAGAAAAACTCAAAATGAAGGTACAGGGACGTATATTTCTGGAGCACACCATTTCTGTAGCACACCATTTTTGTAGCACACCACTTTTATTGCACTTTTTCAATGTATTATATTGTTCATCTTGACCTAGGGGGTGTGCGTGTTCCTTGAATTTTGATACTTCTACATTGAAACCTGTCCTTTCAGAAAGTCACTAGGATTGGGAAAAATTGTTCCATATGAGATTAGAAAAGAGATTAGAATAATACAGGTACAGTAGATGGTAGAACCGGTATATCTGACAGGCCCGTAGCCAGGATTTGCCAAGGGGGGGTTCATTTTTCAAAAAATATCCAGGGGGGTTCACATATGACAAATTTGGCTCAAATATGGCTAAAATCACTTGAGAAGTGCTCAAAATGGTGAAAAACTGCATGATTTTGAAAGAATTTTTGGCCAGGGGGGGTTCGCCCGAACCCTGCGAACCCCCCCCCCCCTGGCTACGGGCCTGTCTGAGCACCTGGCTAATCCGAATCCTCCCAATCTGAACACCTTTCTTCTGTCCAACTTTTTCCTCCCATTGACTTTGAATTGAATTGAATCCCATTGAATTAACATATCTAATCTGAACACTTTTCATAAAATTTCACATGTTTCATACTAAATTGCTCAAATATTGTTGTGATATCAAAACTTTGGGAAAATAGACAGGTTTTATTGTATATGTTTATTTTATTGATCAATTTATTGTATATTGTATATGTTTCTTTAATTGATCAATTTATTGTATATGTTTATTTTATTGATCAATTTATTGTATATGTCTATTTTATTGATCAATTTATTGTATATTGTATATGTTTATTTTATTGATCAATTTATTGTATCTTGTATATGTTTATTTTATTGATCAATCCTAAATACATTAACTCAAGAAAATCATACTCACTAATTCCCTTCTGTCATTCCAGGCCATATCAAAGATAAGAGAATACCTACTCAACAAGATATACACGTTTAAGAAGCCGATGACCAACTACCAAATACCACAAAATGCCATGTTAAAATTCAGGTAATTTTATCTTGCAATATACAAAAGGATAAGTCACATGTCAGAGTAGAGAAGGCTGAGTCGGTTTGAGACACGATGAAAATAACTGGTTGTGTTCAGTTATGAAAATCCATCATTAAGGAAATTTATACCATTCATGACTTTATGTCAGGGGAATTAGTCCTGTATTTTTTTTTTTTTATTTCAAAGGTTTTTCAATGAGTTCCTAATGACGAATGAACGACATGTAGCGAGAGAGATTCGGGATGAGTACGTCGACACAATGTCCAAGATTTATTACTCATATTTCAAGTCTTATACTAGTCGACTTATGAAGCTACAAGTAAGTGAGGGTCTCTAATTAAAGAGATTCTAAGGCAATAGTAAAATTAGTAAGGCAATTGACTTTAGCCAAAAATACCTGTGGAATTAAGTATGCACATTAGCAAAATCCCAAATTTTAGTATTTGGACCTTTCTGAAAGTGTTCAATAGACTTTTTTGTCAATGTATGTGAATTTAAATTCTCTTTATTCCACTCAACATTTAAAAAACTGAGCTAACCTTCAGTAATTTTAAAATGGATTATTTTCATTGCGTATTGGTAGTTTTGATAGATGTTGTGGTATGGATGCAGTACAGTATAGTCAGGAAGGCAATTTGCCCCCCAACCCCTAACTTTGCTTTTGAATTTAAAAAATTGATTCCTTTAATTTTGCCTATTCAGTTTGAAGAGCTAGCAGACAAAGATGACCTCATGGGCGTTGAAGACACCGCCAAACGAGGATTCTTCTCCTCTAAACCCTCGCTAAAGAACCGCTCCACTATATTCACCCTGGGTCAGAGGGGCGTTGTCCTGGCAGCTGATCTAGAGGCCCCTATCATCGTACCCCATGCAGCACAGAAGAATGAGGCAAAGGTACTGTAAAGCTTAAGAGGAGGGAAAACCCCATGATTCAATTGATGACATAAGATTTCCTCCTTCGAGCACCTCCTTTCCCGGAAGTACTTACCCTCCATCTTGGTTTTCAAAGTTTTCAAATTGACCTAGTTTTAAACCAATCAACGATCGACTCGCTAAACCAATCAGCTTAAAACAGATTTACATTATAAGCGTATGTCATCTTTGAACCCTGGGGTTTCTCCCCCTCTTGTAAAGCTTGTATATTCAAGTTGAAACATCTCTCTAATTCAAACACATTTCAATGTTAACATATCTTAATCCAAATTTTGCTATTTCCCATTGGCTTACATATTAAGAGAACTTGAAAAGTGAACATCTACTAATCCAAACATTTTTAGTCAGTCCTTTTTTTATAAAATCAAACTTTATTAATAAACTTATTTTACAATGCATGCATACAATTAGATGAAATACAATTATAAATATTTCAAGTTACATAGTTACATCTTTCTTATCATTATTTCAGTATCAAATATAGCTTTTAAATTACCAGCTGTATTGACCCTTTTTTAAAATCATATATAGCTTTTGAAATTACCAATGTTTTAAGTAAATCTTCCTTTTTAACAATTGCATTTCCAATTTTTTGATCATATGTAACATTTACATCATTCCAAATTGATTTAATTTTCAGCCAGTCCTAGTGGCAATCAAAGTAGAAAGGTGTTGATATGTTTTTTTAAATGTATGGTTGAAAACAGCTTTAATAAGCAAGTTCTGAGAAGGGCTCAGTATTCAAGAGGCCCTATTTTTTCACTAAGTTGTCTACATCATATGAGGATGATGTACATAAAGCTCTCAGAAAGTTTTAAAACATATCAAAGTTCACAAACCTATTACAGTTATGTTTTCATTATTTAAGAAATATAGACCGAATAGCAGGGGTAATATTGTCGAATACATCCCGCAGGGCTAGGCACAAACGTTTTCTGTACCCTGAACGACCGAAGGGAGTAAGGGGTTCGAAAGCTTTTGTGCCTAGCCCTAAGGGGTGTATTCGACGGGATTACCCCTGCTCTGAGGTCTATATTACGATTCGAACATGAAAACTCACCCAAAATGTTTCGAATATTCATTATGGTCCGCCATTACTACGTTCCGCCGTTATGACGTCACACATTACAAGTATTACCAGGGGCAATGTTTGCGAATATACCCCGAGTGAAATGGTGACTTTGTTTACAGTTTATAGAAGGCCTGAATACAGTCATGTTCGAATTTATTTTATAACCCTATGATTGACAAACAGGTCAAAAACTTCGGAATTGTCATATTTGCAGAAAATGTAGTGTATATTTACACAAGGCAAATTTATCCAATATTCTGAGTTGCAGAGTCCGGCTCCTAATCTGTCATTAATTAGTCAGAGTCATATCCATAATTTTTATTATTCTTGTAGCATTTTTCGGAGAAAGCATATTGTGTTATAAAATATGGACAGAAAATATTCAAAATCAAATACAAATGTTCAGCATCACTTGGCATTTCCTGCTCCTTTATGAAATCTTTAATATCTAAAATCTGTACCATTGCAGCATTCCTTTGAGAGCCTGTTCCGCAGCCAGCAGTACGCCTTGCTCGACAATTGCTGCAGAGAATTTCTGTTCCTCGTTGACTTCTTCATGGTGCAACAGTCGTCGGCCCAAGACCTCTTCAATGCCATCATGGGAAAGACACTGTCCATGTTTCTGGTAATTATTATCACCAAATATTATTAATACGAAATTCCAGTAAAATCTGTGTTTAGTGATCACCGTGAAGCCACAAAAAGTGTTCACTGTAGGTAGGTGTTCCTTACAGAGAGGGGATTTTATACAGAAATCAATGTTAAATGTGTCCTTAAGTGGTACTCACTAAACACAGGTGTTCACAAGAGAAAGGTGTTCACTTAGACAGGTTTTACTGTAATGTTGAATTACATATACATGTAGTATCTGTTGTTAAAAGTCATTCGCTATAGCAACCAACTGTATGCTAGCAAAGGGCAAAACTTTGATATAATAGCTTGATTTTATCAGTTTTCAGCACTTGTTGCCTCTATTCTACTTGTACTTGTTCTGCAAAATGCATACCTTAACAGTCGCATAAGAAGTTTTCCAACCTCACAAAGTGAGATAAAACTAACCCCAATATAGAGACCCAAAGCGCCACCTATATCGCATAAAAGTTGCGCTCCTTCGTACTCAACTTTTTGTTTCGTAACTTCCGTACTCAGATCACCGAAAGATATACTCAAGGATACCATGTTTTTTCGGATGGTGTCAGCGTGCGTTCGATTGGTTATTTGATAATGGTTTCTCTCAATCTCGGAAAAGTTAATATACTTTTGTATCATCTGCTGTCCCCGGGTATTTCTCTCGGGTGATTGTAGTATCATTTTTAAGATAAAACCCTGTATCACCTCATCCGGCCAGTATGCTTGAGAAATACTTTTCGAGTAGGATATTTCCTTGCACGCTGGCAGACATTCTTCGCAGTTCAGTGGGGTTTCCATCTTTTCATTCACTGTTTTGGTTAAACAACCTAAATGTGTAAAGTCTTTTGATAAAATATCCATGTTTCCACGAGAGGTTGATAAATTCATGAAATAAACCATTTCTTTGTAAATGTTTTCGCTATCTAGTTTTGTGCATATCTTAAGTGTGTTATTTGGAGGTATGGGGTGCCAGCTCGATACGCAACCACAAGTTTTCATTAAGTTCTTTTGAAAACATTGCGCTTGACAGCCTGCTTGGGTGTAGGCATATTTGGTTCCTTCCAGTAGCTTTCGGTTGGTACATTCACTATAGGGCAGTCCCAGTCTTTCTATCTTGTGTTGCTTTAAAGTGATAGTTGAAGCGTATCCCGGTGGAATGTCAAAACCAGTAGCTTTCGGGAAAGTTATAGTGTCTTTTGGGTGTACTGTTACGCGAAGGCCGATGTTGCCACTTGTAATGACATCTTCGTTAAAGTACGAACCATATGGTAAAATCTCTGGGATAAAGGCATCAAGAAATATCTTAAGGTGGAGACCAGCATCCGTAGTGCTTGCCTTAATCCGTGTGTCAATATCCATGTTGACATCTTTGCCATTGAAAGTATAACAGTGGTTCAATTCAGGATGTAGAAATTGACCGAAGTGACTAGTATTACAATCTCTACCTGCAAAACGGCATTTGATTATTAAACCATCTAGATCATGGCCAACGTCAAGTCTGTCCTCTGTCAACATATTGTCTAGTGCTATTGACCCAGTAATAAATAAGTCCTCAAATTGTGAGAAGTTTTCATGGCTATGGTCCTTTAACAGTTGGTAGTTTATAGGGATTGCACTCCATATATTCACACTTGTTTCTCCACTAAAGTTGTAGCTTATGTATTTCATCCTTGAAAACCCTAATGTAGGACATATTGTGACAGACGGCATCTCAATGACTACGTTGTCAACTTGGATAGTATCTTTGTACTGGAACTTAAAAAAAGAGTTCAGTTGAAAGCCAATATTTACGACAGCAGCTCCCGTACATGTTAACAATATGCAAACGGAAATAAGCTTTCCGACTGTCGTTTTTGAGTTAGCAATCAGTCCAGGCCCATGCGGTGTTGCATTCTCAGAAAATTCACGCAGAATCTCCTTAGGGTTAAATTGTTTTTCTGTCTTTGCCATGTTAGAAGCGTGACACTGGAAGCAGCCCACTTTTTGTGTATCTCTTATTTTGATCAGTTCATGTAAATAGTTCTATAATTCAGCTCAACATTTCATTTCATTAAACCCAGAACATTAAGTTCATTTCCGACTAGTCTTTGTGCTTGTTAATGCTTTTGCCGCAATATTATCATTTCTTCTTACTGGTTTAATTTTTGTTTGACATTGGGCGAATTTAAGGGCTTAATCTGAAACAAAAATTTAATATCCTTCCACAAATCTGTCTGAATGACTTATGAAACGTGCATTCAATCAGTGATTTGGTGTTGTGCAGTAGTCATTACTTACTTATACATTTAGACTATTATAGGCTTTCAGACCCTATTATTGAGATTCAAGGAGCTATTAGCCATTTTAAGTGATAAGTGGGCTGCTATGGTGTTTACTCAATCTTAATTTGTCAATAATTTAGATTGTTATGGAGCTTTATAACATTTGGTCAATTTTTCTTAATTGCAAATGGCATAAGTACATCTACCCATATATTTGCTGTAAATGGGTTTATTAGCCTCTTCCAATTTATTAATGTAGATGTATTATGTCTATTGTATTTCTAATATATGTAAGAGAGCAGAAAATCAATTTTTATTGATGTTACAAAATCACATTAATTCTGTCATTAACATAACTAATTGCAAAGATTGATATTTTCATGTTTGCTCTCAACAGCAATATAATACAACTCAATATTAAATTTGTTGTGAAATTGCATTTATTCTGTAATTTATGTAATTTATTGCTGAAATTGAGCTAATGGAACTCAAGAACTCGTAAAATTCCCAATGGTTTACCAAAAATGCACAATATTTTAAAGGTTGTGTTTGTAGTTTCATTTAAAGATCCTGTATTAAGTTTGAAAATATAGTTGAATCATGAAAATATGAATTTTTCTTAACTTTTAACAATTTGAGACCTTTTTTTTATTTTATTTTAATTTAATGTATTTTACTCTTGTTATATGTAAAGAATTGTTTGGATGTACCACTTAAATTCATTATGTAATTAAATAAATATATGAAGTCCAGGACCCGAAAGGATAACCATAAAATGATGTGACTCTACTAATATTTGCAGAAGCACATGGACACCTATACTAATGATTGCTTCGACAGTATCGCCATTTTCCTTTGTATCCACATCATCTTCCGCTTCCAAGTGATTATGCATAAACGCAATGTACCAGCATTGGACAAGTAAGTCATTGGCATTCTCCTGTGTATATCCATATCATAGATACTGAACATTGGTTGAGATGTTGTGGTCTTGTTGCCATAGATACTAAATAAGTGTATATTCTTGCTTAGATACTTGGAGACATTGCCTGAAATGCTGTGGCCTTGTTGCCATAGATACTTAATATTGTTTATTCATTGCCTAGATACTGGGAAACATTGCTGGAGATGCTGTGGCCAAGACTTGAGATGATACTCGAGATGAATATACAAAGCATCAGAGAATGCGAACCTTCTAAACTTGGACACATAGATGTTAGGCCTCACTATGTAAGTTCAGTTTTGCGTCATACCAAAATGACCTATAAACAATTTGGAAACTAACACCATTCCCAACAAGTATATAGGTTATTAACTAAGAATATATAGCATATCAATAACTTGAAAACGAACACCATTCCCAAAGAATAGCCTATTAAACAGTTTGAAATCAAAACCATTCCCAAAATAGCCTATTAACAGTTTGGAAACAAACACCATTCCCAAAGAATAGCCTATTAAACAGTTTGGAATCAAAACCATTCCCAAAATAGACTATTAACAGTTTGGAACAAACACCATTCCCAAAGAATAGCTGATTCATTTTGAAGCTAATTTGATCTGAGTATGTTACCTGAGCTACATTGCATAAAAAGTTTTTAAAGCTGAACCTATAGATCTCTTCTCTGTTTCCATGGTTACAACATGTTTACTAAAAGTTAAGAATTTTCTGATCATGTATCACTGATTCAACATGAATTTCAGTTTCATCGATGAAGATATATTTCTCAAGAAAAAAACTACTTTTTTCCAGATTACACGTCGCTATGCAGAGTTCTCCGGGGCCATTGTTAGTATCAATGAGAATTTTCCAAATGACCGTGTTAATAAATTACTCGCCAAACTGCAGACTGAAGTGGACAATTTTGTGCTGAGAATGGCTGCAGAATTCCCACTAAGAAAAGAACAGCTGATTTTCTTAATTAATAACTATGACATGATGCTTGGTGTCATAATGGTGAGAATTCATTTTGTTTTTATTAATAACTATGACATGATGCTTAGTGTCATAATGGTGAGAATTTATCTTGTTTTTATTAATAACTATGACATGATGCTTAGTGTCATAATGGTGAGAATTTATTTTGTTTTTATTAATAACTATGACATGATTCTTAGTGTCATAATGGTGAGAATTTATTTTGTTTTTATTAATAACTATGACATGATGCTTGGTGTCATAATGGTGAGAATTTATTTTGTTTTTATTAATAACTATGACATGATGCTTGGTGTCATAATGGTGAGAATTTAGTTTGTTTTTATTAATAACTATGACATGATGCTCAGTGACATAATGGTGAGAATTTATTTTGTTTTTTATTAATAACTATGACATGATGCTTAGTGTCATAATGGTGAGAATTTATTTTGTTTTTATTAAAAACTATGACATGATGCTTAGTGTCATAATGGTGAGAATTCATTTTGTTTTTATTAATAACTATGACATGATGCTTGGTGTCATAATGGTGAGAATTTATATTGTTTTAATGTCAAGTGGTGACAGATTGTAACAGTTATTATTATGCACTTTTTAAATGGTGTCATTTTGTCATGTTAATCTCTTGTTTGTATGTCACCAACATATATAGTCTCCAACTTTTTTGTGGATGATGTTTAGCATTAGGCAGTCTGTGTTCAACAGTCTGTAACAAATGGCAGGTGGTGAAATTTTGTGTGTTAATGCCTTGTTGATTCTATTATCAATGCAACAACGAGAGAAATCTGAATTGCATGGTGTCTGTATTCCAGGAAAGGACCAATGAGGACTCGGCAGAATCAGAGAGTTTCAAACAACTATTGGCTGCCAGGACGCAGGAGTTTATAGAGGAGATACTAGCGCCACATTTTGGTGGGATGATGATGTTTGTGAAAGAGGTTGAGGCCGCGGTGGAGAAAGGGAATATGGACTCACTCAAGAACCAGAATCAAGAAAGTATGAGTAACTTTACCGTTTGATATTTATAGAGCTGCAGAACTTATTGTTTTATAGAACAAAGTTTGAGAAGGAATATAGAGAAAATGTTCGTTGATTTGTGTGTAGGTAATTAACTCAAATGCATATTGACATGGAAAGTTGATTATCATAAAAATAGACGTCAGTATATAGACTACCATCATTATGTCACTACCGGTGTGAAAGAAATTATGGTCCCCTGGGGATTATGGTCCCCTTTCCAAACGGCCCTTATTGGCCCTGATTGTGTATAAGATAATTAAGGGAAAGGGTTGTATTTAGGTCACCATATAAATCAATGGAGAGTAGGACCATAATTTGATAGGACCTCCTACCCTTTTACACCTGCACCAGAAGTGGTGACAAATTGTTATAGTCTCCAACTTTTTTGTGGCTTGTATTTGGCGGTTGGTGTTGGGTGCTCAGTGAACGGTAGTTGACATGTAATAAATGTCAGCTGCTGACATTTTCTCATAATGCCTTGTTGTGTGACGTTTTCCCATAATGCCTTGCTGTGTGACGTTTTCCCATAATGCCTTGTTGTGTGACATTTTCCCATAATGCCTTGTTGTGTGACATTTTCCCACAATGCCTTGTTGTGTGATGTTTCCCATAATGCCTTGCTGTGTGACGTTTTCCCATAATGCCTTGTTGTGTGACATTTTCCCATAATGCCTTGTTGACTGTTGTGTATTTGTAGGGAGAGTCCAGCAGTTGGTAAGAGGGTTTAACAATGATTGGAAGAAAGCTATTGACCTCATCAACCAAGATGTCATGAGATCTTTCACCAACTTCAAAAATGGAACACAAATACTCCAGGTTACTATGGTTACATACATAAATATAGCTACTTACCTGGGGGCCATTAACAGAAGCTTCATAAAGTTAAGAATTCGTAAAACCATGGGTTTTCAACTCTAATTGAAAGCCCATGGTAAAACCCATTGTTCTCTAACTGTGACATCATTATATCCATGGTTACAACAATTGATTTACGAATTCGTAACTTAACTAAGTTTCTGTTAATGACGCCCTGTATAACATAATTGAAATACAAGGTGATCCAGAAGTAAAATTAAAAAATTAACCAATCAAAGAATTGAGGCTCAAATTATTTTTGCTAAATAAATGAAGACAACAGGTAAAATTAATGGAAACCATAAATTTAACATGGAAAAGTTGAAAAGTCCCTAAAAACAACAGACGATTTGGTGAAAACAATTAGTCAAAATCGCCTGTCGCCTGCTGCCAATGAAACCCCCGAGGTGTCAACTCAGAAATGCTTGGGGAACATCTGTTCCAATTTTCAAGAAGATTTCATGCTGAATGTACATAGCGATCTGATCCAGTTGATTATTAACAGTATATGTTTGTCATAATAATATCATATTGAATGTTAATATGTGATAGGTTATCCCGACTGAGATGTTGTTGAGTGGTTTAAATATTTGATTGATACTCCCTCGTGGTCACTTTAGCCCAAGACTTCTGTATCTGAATGATTTACTTGTAATTGAGGTTGATCTTACCCAGTTGATCATTTGTTTAATTGATATTTGACAAATTGCCAACTGTTGTAATAATTGTTTAATACACTCTTCAATCCCTTCAAGCCAATACTTTACTCTATATGGATGATTTATCTGTAGTTTTGTATATATTCAAGGGTGCCATGACCCAGTTGACAATATGTATATTTGCCATATGACAGGATGCCCTGAGTAACTGTTGTTGGGTGGTTTAGTAATATTTGATTGATAATCCTTCGTGGTCCCTTCAACCCAAGACCATTCTGCACGTGGATGATTTATCTGTTTCATTAAAACTTAGTATGTATATTCCAGGGAGCCCTGACCCAGTTGATCCAGTACTTCCACAGGTTCTCGAAGGTCCTCTCTCAAGGCCCATTTAGAAACCTGCCAATCAGGAATGAGCTCATTAACATACATCATGTTATGGTTGAAGTGAAGAAGCATAAACCAACATTCTAAGACTATAGGGTAATAGGAGATATGATGCAGGATTTAGATGAACTGCAGCATGATAGGTGTGATGCAGCACAATAAAGACTTGATGCAGCACTATCTAGAAGTGCTACAGCACAATTAAGAATTGATGCAGTGCAGTCTAGATGTGCTGCAACACATTAAAGATTTGATGCAGCACTATGTAGAGGTGCTACAGCACTATTAAGAATTGATGCAGTGCAGCCTATATGTGCTGCAGCACAATAAAGACTTGATGCAGCACTATCTAGAGGTGCTACGGCACAATTAAGAATTGATGCAGTGCAGTCTAGATGTGCTGCAGCACAGTTAAGACATGATGCAGCACTATCTAGATGTGCTGCAGCACAAATAACATGCAGCATAGTCTAGATTTGGTGCAGCATGTTAAATCATATGATGTATTACAATTTACAACATTTCCAAATAATAACACACACCCTATATTGCCAATTCTTCACTGTGCCAATTTTGGTTCGATAAGCACCAATAGATTGTTCCGCTAAATCCTGTCAACTTTTGAGGTAATAGAAAAACTATGATATATCGGCTAAATTGATGATGTCATTGGTTCTAGATATAAATCTGATCATGCAAAAAGATAATTTTTTTTGTTCAAAAAATACAACCTATGACATCATTAAGCTAGCCAACATATGACATCATTAAGCTAGCCAACATATGACATCATTAAGCTAGCCAACATATGACATCATTAAGCTAGCCAACATATCAAAGTTTCTCTGATATCAAAATGTGGCAGAATTTATCTGAAAAATATATTACATTATAGCCCTTTTAAGAAGTACACTCCCCTCTGTAAATCTAGCAACTGGGAGGCCCCATTGGATAGCCTGTTTATGTTAAAAGGGGACTTCCATTTGTCACACTTTTGGGGAGGGTGTACAATGAACAGGATCAAGGCACACTATTGAGCAAATCTTATTTATATGTGCAATATCTCTTTTTCCTAAATAATTGATATAATACATAAATTGTACTGCAAAAATTCAAACATTGAAGTAGCCTACAGTATGTGGATGTCTGGATTTTGTTATGATCCTTGAACTTGGATATCTCAGAGTATTGAGATATCTCAGAGTATTGAGATATAATCATTACAGCCCCGTAGCCAGCTCATATCCCCCCACCCCGGCCATAAGTCTTTCAAAATAATGCAGTTCTTCACCATTCTGAGCACTTCTTAATCGATTGTCAAAAGTGAACCCCCCTGGAATTTTTCAAAAAGTGACCCCCTTGACAAATCCTGGCTATGGGCCTGCATTATGTTAGAGTAATGCGGTGGACACATTTACTCGATCTTCAACACCGCGCCTGGCTTATGAGTATTTTGTTCAAAACTGAATGCAATTTTGAACAAAATACTCATCTGCCTTGGTGCCAGTTCTGAAAATCAAAGTAAATATGACCACGGTATACAGGAATAAGAAACCAACTTGATGGTTGTTAATTGGTTTTGAGTGGTCCACAAATGAAGGGAGATATTTGAGTATTTCATAAACAATTATCCCAAATTCATTGAGTTTACCCATCTTCGCATGCTCGGTCTTCACTGCGATCGACGGGAGCCGAGTGAACGAAGATGGAGTTTACCTTGAATCACATTAAAAGGTGGATGTATGTTGTGCAAGAATTTGTAATGCTGGGAGTTATTTATGAAACAATTGTTAATTAATTAAATGGAGAAATAAATTAATATATGATGTACATGTAGTCAATTTTTATTTTAATTCCAACTATGTTGTTGGATCTAATTTGATACATAAGGATAATTTGTTGACAATATTCAAACTCCATCTTGGTAATAATTCCATTATCTTATTGTACGGTAGTTAACATCATAATAGGTAAGTTATAAATCGTTTATGTCACTATTGTGAAACAATATATTCTCGGTTCACAGAGAGCAATGGGCCTCCCAACAAGGTCGAGTCATATATCACTGTCTGAGAACCTCGGGGGATATGATGATTAAGTGTTTGCATATATTTTTCCAATAAGACTATATTCTCATATTTCATGAATTAAAAAATTGGTTTCAAGTGCATTTTATCGGGATATAGAGAACGGCTTCGTCCGTAATCAGTCCGTCTGGAATATAACTCGAATATCAGAAGACGGATTCACTTCATATTTAGTAGAGAGATTATTGGTGAATAGTTTTGCTAAAAATATTCAAGAGGGTCGCCACTTTAAAAATAACAATAAAGTTGAGTCTGCTGTCATGGGCTTTCTCTTGTAAATCAAAGGTAGAGTTAGCGGCAGATAGTAAATATTATATTTTGACATACAGATTCTGAACATTTTATTTGTTGGGATATGCTACGCCGTCGAGTTGTCGTTTTGTAGTTATACATCTTCTAGCTCTGTATTCGTAAGTCTATACAAAGTTAAAACAAGATTTTAGAATAAGATATGAAACACAAAGTCAGGTTTTCATTTTATTTTTTCACAGTAAGTCTTAGTTGGATTTTAGTCATACAACATCGGCGAAACTTGACACAAACAATGTTGGGTTCTAATATGGCACAAACAAAGTACAACGCTACTGGCAAATGGACTCAAAATACTGAAGATGTAATCAATAAAAAAGTTGGAGCAATATGCCAACCGGTGAGGAACCTCGTGTTTGTTAAGGTAGCAAAGTGTGGAGGGTCAACGTTGACAAATATTTTCCAACGATATGGCGAAGCACATAATTTAACCTTCCTCCTACCTAAACCCAATACGTCCTCTATAAAACAAGAAGACATTCTTGAACATATTGGTAAGCCTGTCAATATGATTGTACAGCATGCGCAATACAATGAAGAACTTATGAAGAAGCTCATGCCGAATGACACTGTCTACATCGGATTGATACGAGAACCACTACGTCACCTGAAATCCTTATATAATTATAAAAAATTGGGAAATATTCCGTCAATGCCCACTTTGGCCGAATTTGAGGAGAATCCGTGGAAATACACGCACACGAATCGGATGAAAAGTCTCATGAATAACCAAAGTAGATGGTACGGATTGAAAAATTTTATTAAAGGAAAACTCAATAAAGACGTCAACCTGACCGCTAAATTTGTTGAAAAGATTGCCAAACAATTTGATCTAATCCTGGTGACAGATCACATGAAGGAATCTCTAGTACTGCTAAAGGATGTACTCTGTTGGACATTGGATGATATGTTATTTGTATCTCATAAGGTAGCAAATGAAAATATTGTTAACTTTAATACAGGAGGGCTCCAAGAATCTAACGAACACACCCCAAATATGGATATCGCCGTAAAGAATATGCGCCGCTACAGCAGAGTCGACTACGGTATGTTTGACTTCTTCAACTATACACTGTGGGAACGGATCAAAACAAAGGGAGATGCATTTCGAAATGACTTAAGACAATTTGAAGATAAACTGCGTTTTCTTCATAGTACCTGTTACTACGCAAAGGAAAGCCTGGCTCTCTCAGAGGAATACATTGAGAAAGTTGTCCACGAGGATACTTCATCGGCTGACTATAAATGTCATCGTATGCTTCTTCCACCTACACAGTATGGTCATTACATCATTCGCCCAAAACAGGACAATTAGATACATGGTTACATGCATTCTATTTTCACATTTGACTTGACAGAAGACATTCAACACGCAGAGATGTTACAAATCAACACTATTGTTATAGTCTTTTTGTGGACTGTATTCGGCGTCTGTAACAAATGTCGTCTGTGACAAATGGCAGGTGGTGACATTTTGCATGTTAATGCCTTGTTATTCTTTTATCATATGAACTATTTTGCTTGATGATTGACATACATTACCATAAGTTCAATCTAAATCAATGTAAGACACCAAAACGAATGACTTCGAACTGTTTTATGTTTTGTGTTTATGTGGCTACGATCTGTTCTATGTTTTTATGTGGCTACGAACTGTTCTATGTGTTTATGTGGGTACGAACTGTTGTATGTCTTTATGTTTTTTGCACTGTATAGTGGATTATTTGTGATTAAAAAATTAAAACATTTATTCGAAAAATGGGAGGAAATTTGAATATTTGAAAAATAAAAAGCTGAGGACTTCATCTTTTTCAAAAATCTCTAAAATAACCCGAGGCCTTTAAGCTTAAAGTACAAAATGGGGGTAAAAATGAATGCATTGTAAAAAATCTTAAGCTTTCTTCAAATGAATAGAAATGACAAGGAATGATAATAGCCCAAAATATATTTTAAAATGAAGCAATTTCAGTCAAGGTTGCTCGCTTGTACCAGTGCTATTACTTACTAGTGCTAAAAATCCATTTGCAACGTCCAGTAGTTAGGATTTCTAACTAAATTTCTAAAATTATAACAATCTGTTTTACGTCCAATCGTTTTCATAATCTGAGTCAGAACATATTTCTTAAAGAACTCAACTCATTTTTCTGATCTGTTGTAAGACGCTGTTATACGAGGCATATTAGCCAATTACACGTTTTAAAACGCGTGGAAATTTTCGCTGTTTATGATTAGTCATTAAAAGTATACGAACTTGTTGAGACGTTTGCGAGCGCGTTTTGATTGTCCTACCTTGTTTATAATTAGCGATTTGAATTTTAAAAAAGTGATTGAAAAAATAAGATTACTAGCTATAGCCGGTTCATGTTCATTCAAGCAAAATATTACAATAACTATTACATTTTTGAGCAGTTTTGACACCTAGGCAGGGTAGCCTCGTGGCTTAGAGAGACTACTTTGTGGGTTGAACGTCCGATGGGATACGGAGGTCCCGCGTTCGAGCCCCAGGTACGGAGTTTTTGATCATTGCACTACGGACACCCGGTCCGAAGGTCCAACCGTATACTGGCCCTTGGCATGGGTTGGTTCTCTGGCCGCTCTTGCCGGAGACAGATTGTGAGACTGTGGTTGGTTCCTCCACTAACGTGCATTAGTAGACCCCGGGAGTCATACAGTATGGTAGCGGGCCCCCACCAAGGGCAGTAGTGGAACGACGCGATTCGGTCCCAGTATGGTTGCCTTGCAACTGAAGAGACTCGAGGAAATCATGCCATTCGCAGTGACCCAGAAAAGACTTTTGCTGTTTGATACACACAGTCAATTTTTATTTAATTTATTCATTGAAAACAAAATGAACACACTTATCATGCAAAACATCACCACTTGCCATTTGTTACAGACGTTCAAAATAGTATGAGTCTCACACAATGCGTAAACCTGTACGTAAAACAGTAACACTAGTAAAAAACTTATACTTGAGTAGTATTGCGAGGTTTTTATATTTTATTTCATCTGCATTCAAAAGTATTGTTTCCAATTTTATGTACTTCTTTACACTGTATCACCATCTATTTATTACGATTTATTAGAATTTACAGAGCACGGATAATTCGTTGGAATGTGCTAAAGAGTGATATAAATAAATTTTGAAATAAAGATGGCAGGCCAATCTATCTTAGTATAGAGAAAGGTTAATTAGGATTCTACCGCTGCTGCCATCTTTGTATCGGTCCAAAACCTATATTCGTTGGTCTCTGGAATGAATTTTTTCAGTACAAGTTTTTATTTAAAGAACGCAAAATCAACACAAAATAATAATGTCAAATGGTAGTTTTGACATATTCACAAAAAAGAAATAAAAAAACAAAAACTTGGCTGGAAGATGAGTGTAAGACAACTGATGATGGCGAAAGATTAAATTTTGTTGATGATAAGGAGGTAGGCCTAACGGTCGAAGAGCGAGCTTTTTGAAAATGGAACACAAAATATTTTTGGGAATTTATTTTGGCGTCCCGTTTTTTTGGTTACCCAATTGTCAATATTAAGGGACCCTTCACAATTCAAAACCCGGAATACCCCCTCCAGTAAAACCCTGAATACCCCTTACAGTAAAACCCTGAATACTCCCTACAGTAAAACCCTGAATACTCCCTATAGTAAAACTATGAATACCCCCTACACTAAAACCCTTAATACTCCCTACAGTAAAATCCTGAATACCCCTATAGTAAAACCCTGAATACTCCCTACAGTAAAACCCTGAATACTCCCTATAGTAAAACTATGAATACCCCCTACACTAAAACCCTGAATACTCCCTACAGTAAAACCCTGAATACTCCCTATAGATAAAACCCTGAATACTCCCTACAGTAAAACCCTGAATACCCCCTACAGTAAAACCATGAATACTCCCTACAGTAAAACCCTGAATACCCCCTACAGTAAAACCCTGAATACTCCCTACAGTAAAACCTTGAATACCCCCTACAGTAAAACCCTGAATACTCCCTACAGTAAAACCCTGAATACCCCCTACAGTAAAACCATGAATACTCCCTACAGTAAAACCATGAATACTCCCTACAGTAAAACCCTGAATACTCCCTACAGTAAAACCCTGAATACTCCCTACAGTAAAACCATGAATACTCCCTACAGTAAAACCCTGAATACTCCCTATAGTAAAACCCTGAATACCCCCTACAGTAAAACCATGAATACTCCCTACAGTAAAACCATGAATACTCCCTACACTAAAACCCTGAATACTCCCTACAGTAAAACCCTGAATACCCCCTACAGTAAAACCTGTAAAATCTTAACATGACTGGGACTCACAAAGTGTTCAGATTAGCAGGTGTTCACATTTCAAGGTTTTATAAACATGCGAGTCAATGGGGGAAAACAAAGATGGGACAGAGAAAAAGTATTCACATTGAGAGGTGTTCGGATAAGAGAAATGTTTCACTGTACATACATTGGAAAAACAGCCAAGTTAGCCAGTTATCTGAGGTATCATTCAATGAATTGAAACATATTTACAAAACAATCATGCCACTTGATAACAGAATCTTTTTAATTCATTTCTCTGAAACCTAAGTGAAAAACACATATAGTATTTCGTATCAATATCGTTTATTCAAATATGTCAAAAAAGAAATGTGTTCCAAGGTGAGTATTGAACAGGTAGAAAGAATATAATTTTTCCATTTGACCTATAGAGTCTTAGTACATAAGAGGTGCTAACATAGCCGTCCTCCAATCACAGGGCTTCAAAATCCAGAATGTATTCTTTCTTTTTACCCCCTGCAATAAGGAGTGCTGAGCATTTCCCCGATTAGGAACTCGCAATCTGATTGGCTGTCGACACTGTGACAGAAATCATGTATACAGTATAAGTCATTGCACATTATTAGATCGCGTGATTCAGTTTAATCGGGTTATAGCAGGGGGAAGAAGGAGGTACGGATTCTGGATACCTGCTTAAGAGGATGTAACATAGCTTGAAATAGATTTTTAGGCAATGATTTTTAACGATACTTACAGACTTAGTCAGTGTGTCCTGCACAATTATTTATTAATACGCTATTTTACTATTTTAATCAATTAAATAATATATGTTTAAATATAAAATATATCCATCAGTCAGTCTATAGTCAAATTTGATTGGCTCAGGTTTGAAAAAGTTATTCAAATATTTCCACCGTCTGGGTTGGTTAAGATCAGTGCTGCCACCTATGGCCAGTTACATGTGAGTATGCTTTGGTCCCACTCCAAGCCAGGGGGGCATGGCATCACGAATGAACCTCCCCATTCATCACACTGACAGAAATGGTACGCATCAGGGCCAGGGAAATAAAAGTTGCCTTTGTCTATGTTATCCTGTGTGCAAGGGTTCGGGTCGCAGGTCCCAGGGACTTTTTCTGGTGGTTTGTTGGGGTCTTCAATGCACGTCTTCTTTGCTTGGTCCCATAATTTCCATTCACCGCAAGGGATGATCCAACTAAAACGACAATCACCGATTTAGTGACATATTGAAGATTCAAATGTTATTCCAGTTATGACCACATCAAGGTCAGGCCCAAAATAAACTTTTGTCAAGGGGGTTCACTTTTCAAAAAATTCCAATGGGGTTCACATTTGACAATTTGGCCTGAAATCACTTGTGCTAAAAATGGTGAAAAACTGCATGATTTTTAAAGATTTTTTAACCAAAGTCCAGACCCCCGAACCCCCCTGTCTACGGGTCTGGAGAAACAGTTTGTTTTTCCATTATGATGGAAATTATATATCCTTTAATCTTATTCCGTAAATATGGGTTGCCCTTTTTCATTCTATTTCTAATCATAGTATTTGTATTTCATGAGCTATGACTTGTTATTGCAATTGCATGTTATGAGATGGTGAAATGTGTGTAATACAACCTTAAGTCAACCTTAATCCTACCATTACTTTTAACAAACAAACAAACAAACAAACAAACAAAAAAGAAACCTACCCATTTCCACACTCATCACACTTGATATATTTGCTGTTATCCTCCGGATGTTCATGAAATATTTCTCCATTTTCTACACCATCAAGAGAACACACTGCCATAGCAGAGGCTGGGATCACTCCAGGTACAAGGGATCTGCCATTCTTTGGTGTATTAACACAGACCTAATCAGAGATGTATAAGTATATTGTATATGTTTCTACATTTTCAAAATTGATATTGAAAAATCCCTCCTAAAATATTCACATGGATCCCTGTGATCCCTGTATTTTATTCTTTGGCAGTTTTTAATTTTTCAAAAATCATTAAAATTTAATATTAATGTTACATTTATTTAACCTATCAATAAAAATAATGTTACATTTATTTAACCTATCAATAAAATGATAATCAAACATGTGTAATTTATACCATAACTGACTGATCCCAAAATTGGTTTTCTGGGCAATCCTTCTCAAACTGTTGGCCGTGTGCGTCACACTGTATGAACTTGGTGGGGTCAATATGGGGGTGGTAGAAGATATTGTGCTCCATGGCTGTCTGAGTACAGGGGTTACACTGGCGAACCTTTGGGATTTCTGGAATATAATAGGTATAGCAAGGTTACCATAGTAACCAATGAACATGAAGTCATTTGTTGATTTAACTGTGAAAGTTTAACTGTGACCAAGTAATACTGATTTATAAATGTTTTGAAGCAAAATTATCTGTACTTATTTCACACTCTGTTTTATAGCTTATATGCAAGAACACATCGTACTCCTGCAGCTCGCTTCTTTTTTGGCTTGTTAGTCAATGACCCGGGAATTTAACTATACACCAGGTAGTAATTTCAGCATCTTTAGAATAGCACAAACTTGAAAGTGGTTTCATTTTGACTTGCCCTTCTGAAACCCTTGTTACTAGTACGTCTAATGTTTGTCAAGCAAATCATAATGGTGCATAACAATCTAAACTTTATACAGGGTCTTTAAAGATCATTGTCAACCACCAACCTTTGCAGACATCACGTTGGATAGAGTAAACAACATCAGCAACTTCATCAAATGAGAACAGATGAGATGTATGGGTGCAATCTGGGTTGGATGCTATCTGTGTTAGCTCTTCCTCATTCACTTCTGCAAAATACAACATGATACTGTTTAATTTTTGGGTTTGAGGCTATCTGGGTGCAATCTGGGTTGGATGCTATCTGTGTTAGCTCTTCCTCATTCACTTCTGCAAAATACAACATGATACTGTTTAATGTTTGGGTTTGAGGCGATCTGGGTGCAATCTGGGTTGGATGCTATCTGTGTTACCTCTTCCTCATTCACTTCTGCAAAATACAACATGATACTGTTTAATTTTTGGGTTTGAGGCTATCTGGGTGCAATCTGGGTTGGATGCTATCTGTGTTAGCTCTTCCTCATTCACTTCTGCAAAATACAACATGATACTGTTTAATTTTGGGTTTGAGGCTATCTGGGTGCAATCTGGGTTGGATGCTATCTGTGTTAGCTCTTCCTCATTCACTTCTGCAAAATACAACATGATACTGTTTAATTTTTGGGTTTGAGGCTATCTGGGTGCAATCTGGGTTGGATGCTATCTGTGTTAGCTCTTCCTCATTCACTTCTGCAAAATACAACATGATACTGTTTAATTTTTGGGTTTGAGGCTATCTGGGTGCAATCTGGGTTGGATGCTATCTGTGTTAGCTCTTCCTCATTCACTTCTGCAAAATACAACATGATACTGTTTAATTTTTGGGTTTGAGGCTATCTGGGTGCAATCTGGGTTGGATGCTATCTGTGTTAGCTCTTCCTCATTCACTTCTGCAAAATACAACATGATACTGTTTAATTTTTGGGTTTGAGGCTATCTGGGTGCAATCTGGGTTGGATGCTATCTGTGTTAGCTCTTCCTCATTCACTTCTGCAAAATACAACATGATACTGTTTAATTTTTGGGTTTGAGGCTATCTGGGTGCAATCTGGGTTGGATGCTATCTGTGTTAGCTCTTCCTCATTCACTTCTGCAAAATACAACATGATACTGTTTAATTTTTGGGTTTGAGGCTATCTTGGTGCAATCTGGGTTGGATGCTATCTGTGTTAGCTCTTCCTCATTCACTTCTGCAAAATACAACATGATACTGTTTAATTTTTGGGTTTGAGGCTATCTGGGTGCAATCTGGGTTGGATGCTATCTGTGTTAGCTCTTCCTCATTTACTTCTGCAAAATACAACAAGATACTGTTTAATGTTTGGGTTTGAGGCTATCTGGGTGCAATCTGGGTTGGATGCTATCTGTGTTACCTCTTCTTTATTTACTTCTGCAAAATACAACATGATACTGTTTAATGTAGGGAAGCTCTTCCTCGTCATTTCTGCAAAATACAACATATTACTGTTTAATGTTTGGGTTTGAGGCTATCTGGGGCAATCTGGGTTGGATGCTATCTGTGTTAGCTCTTCCTCATTTACTTCTGCAAAATACAACATGATACTGTTTAATGTTTGGGTTTGAGGCTATCTGGGTGCAATCTAGGTTGGATGCTATCTGTGTTAGCTCTTCCTCATTTTCTTCTGCAAAAAACAGCATGATACTGTTTAATGTAGGCAAGCTCTTCCTCGTTCATTTCTGCGAAATACAACAGATTACTGTTAAATGTTTGGGTTTGAGACTATCTGGGTGCAATCTGGGTTTGAGGCTATCTAAGCAAGCTTTTCCTCATTGACTTCTGCAAAATACAACATGTCTACAAAATACAACATGTTACTTGTAAATGTTTGGGTTTGTATGAATGTATGTATCTGGGTACAATCTTAGGTTGAAAGGATATCTAGTTGAGCTCTTTCTCATTTATTACACTACAATAGAGACTAAGTGTATTGAATCTTAATACTCGACTGATGTCTTCTAATTCGAGATTTAACACATGTTCTCACGAAAAGGTACTGATTACAAAACTACCTGATCCAATTCCAATGGCGTAAATTCTGATATCAAAACTTTTGGCCAATCTTGCTGCAGCCACGGTTCCATGATAGTCTTGCGATTTCCCATCAGTGAGAACGATAGCGACTCTTGGACGATTCTCCGATTTAGGACGTGCCCCATGGCTCTCCGTAAAACTATCCTGGTACATAATGGTCAAGGCTGCTCCAGTGTTTGTGTGCCCTCCCTCCTCATAAGTAACCTTCAAATGACACATTGATAGAATAAAATTATGAAATCCATTAAACACTTCTAATGTGTGAATATTCCATAGTGGCCATGCACTTAGTTACAACATATAAAGGTTCCACCAATGTCTACACTGATCAAGCAGATGTCAGTCGTATTTGTATTCCCTAAAAATTGTGTATAAATGTATAGTTTGAATAATTTCAAAATCTGCTTTGTCATACTTTCCAAAGAGTTCAGTGTGACAGCAAACAAAACTCATTGACAGAACAACCAAACATACAAACCAAACAAACAAACCAAACAAACAACCAAACCAAACCAAACAAACAAACCAAACAAACCTGGTTTATAGCAGAAATGAGGCTATATTTATCAAGATGAGTATTCAATTGGAATTCCTCTGTCGCATGGTTACTGAAATGGATCAAGCCAACACGATTCTTCTCTGGACCAATTTCGAAGGCTTCAACGACCTTTCTGGTGAACTCCCTGATCTTCTCAAAGTTGTTGCTCTTAATGCTGCCAGAGGCATCGAGAATGAATACAAGGTCCACCCCAGCGAGTTTGTCACATACTGTAAAAAATAAGAACACAGTTTTTAAAATCACTGGACAGGAATGAGACCATATTTAGCTAAAAAGGAAGTGGAGACAAGGTAACGCTGGATGGAAATTCTGAATAAGAAGCTTTTCCAAAATGCAAAATGGGATAAACTTTATGTGGCTACTTATCTACTGGCATCAAATGGCCTCAAACATTCTTATCCATTATTCATCAATTCTGCTATTTTATCATTTTTATCTATTTTTTTCACTTGAAGCCAATGTCAAAATATTACATAGCAAGTTTTAGACATACACAGAGGGAAATGAATTATAAAATTTTCTCAATTTGAGGTAAGTTTAAAAAATGCCCTTTTGACCTTTCTGACCTTCATTATGTTGCCATGGTGACAGATATTGACAGAAATATATTGGACCTCCTCATTACATGTTCATATATATCAGTGTATATTGACAATAAAAATTCTGAACCAGTCTAAAGAGTGTGTTATTGGAAGTGCCAGATGCCAAACTCCCAAAATTGAATGCTGACTGCCACCAAACAATATGTCACCACTTGTGGTAGTGACATAAAAATGGAATATTACACTTGCCTGCTCTGGTCAATAAGTCTAATCAACCAAATGAACAATCTAACTAGACAATCACGTTGGGCCCATTTCAACACTTCTAAGAGCATAATACTTCAAAATGTCTTAAAACCTTTCATAAGGGCGTTAAAAGTCAGAAGTCATTAGGATAATCAATTATATAAAAGTACAAATGTTTCGCAATTGATCCCGGGACAAAGTCGAGGTGACAACGTATGACCCTTAAATCTTGAGAAAAAGGGACCTAAATTTAAGGTCAACAATACATGCAAACAACAAAAGGTGAAAATCTATTAGTACCAATCACACACATGTGGAGAGAGTGTGATTTGAAACGTTGTTGCAATCCATCATTTTTGACATAATTTAGGAGGAACAGTTTCACAGTGAGTTGATCTGTACATAATTAATACATTCAACTTCTTCTTAATGTCAAGCAGTAGCTCTTACGGATCATGTAAATTAAATTGTTAAAATATCAACATGCTAGAACATTGTCACATTCTTATTTGATACATCGTTTTGTAGTCAGTTAAGTGCAGTTTGGTGTACCATATTTAAGTACCAAAAATTTGAAAACAAGAAAAACGTAGTAATTCTAAAGTAGCACTTAGAAAATATAGGTTACATGCCCTTGCATGAGAGACCCACCCATCTGAGCAATTTATATTGTTTAAGTAGAACTTATTTAATAATACATTCTTACGTCAACCATGAACTTATTAATTTTCATTTGGTAACAAATATAGGTGTCACAACGACACAAAATCAACCCAAACCTCGTGTTGGAAGGCTCGGGTCGGGTCACAAACAACTACTTACCAATTTCAAACAAACAACTACTTACCAATTTCAAGTCGGGTCAGCACCACCCTATGCAGACAGAGCCTGTGGGAAATATTGGGTGCGGAGCAAATGAGCGGAGGGTGCGGAGCTAACGGTTATTTTTGAATTTAAATTTGGGATATTTCTGAAACTAAGCCGTTTTGGGACTTCAAATATACCAAGATATGTGTATTTGACACCAAATATCAATACAATTGTGAAAATAGTAGCGCAATTCATTCTATAGTGACGCAGTGTGCCTTAAACCTTTCCCAGACCTATATATTTTGAAATTATCCTTTTAATACTGAGTCCCCAGCATTCATAAAAAATGGTGTTCAAGGTGGACTATCTATACAAATTATTTTTGCATCTTGGAAGCCAGGCAGTATCTGTGATTTTATAAAAATTCGGAAATTTTTTCAGATATGAGCCCCCTCTAAATATTGGGTGCGGAGCAGCTCCATAAACGTAGCTCCGCACCCAATATTTAGAGGGGCTCATATCTGAAGAACATTTCCGAATTTTTATAAAATCACAGATACTGCCTGGCTTCCAAGATGCAAAAATAATTTGCATGGGTAGTGTATCTTGAACACCATTTTTTATGAATGCTGGGGACGCAGTATTAAAAGGATAGTCTCAAAATATATAGGTCTGGGAAATGTTTAAGGCACACTGCGTCGCTATAAAATGAATTGCACTACTATTTTCACAATTTTATTGATATTTGGTGTCAAATACACATATCTTTGTATATTTGAAGTCCCAAAACGGCTTAGTTTCAGAAATATCCCAATTTTAAATTCAAAAATGACCGTTAGCTCCGCACCCTCCGCTCATTTGCGCCGCACCCAATATTTCCCACAGGCTCTGTCTGCATAGGGTGAGTACACTCAGGAATATCGTAAATCGTAAAATGCTTGATATTCCCGGCAAAAATGTCAAACATCTAGCTGGGCTATTTCTTGTATACATATAAATTATGAATGGAAAATAATTTACAGTTTTTCCCGAATGATTCAATGATAAGTTTCTATCATTTTTCTTAAATCAAGGCATAATATGCAGTAATGCAGGCTTAATGAGTCTCATAATGAGCTATTTGTGGTTTGACAATAAAGTCAGATTCATTTTCCATTTGTTTTGCCCCAACCCTAAATTACCTCATGTTCTGCACACTTTTTTGCCCGATCCAACCTGACTCATGACACCTCTAGTAACAAATAGGACAACAACAGAAGACTCTTATCTGACCCTTTTGTACTACTAAATACTGAGCTTGAATTCTATTGTCATTTCTAAAATATAATTTATGTGGTTGTCCCATCCCTCTGAGATCTTAATCGGTTTATTTATGGCAACTTAAACTCTTATGAAGTCTGCAATCACTCTTAAAAACAATTTGTGAGTACAAAACTAAGCATTTCAATTATGAAAAAACCTACTTCAAAATCATAAAAATCAAAAAGTTGTCATATTATCAAAATATATGTGCTTGTTTATAAAAACAATCAATTTCAATCACTTATATATGACTATTAATCAATAAATATGTTTACAATTGGTGCGGTTTTAGAAAAAAATATTTTCTGAATAAATCTTGAAAAGTCAAGATGACTTTTTAGTGTGACGTACGTATGTAAAATCTATAAACATTTTTTCAAAATTGTCAGTTTTATGGTCACTTGATCTCTTGATTCAATTGTTAACTTCTTTCGATTCTCCTTGTTGCTAGGCAGTTTGTTTGCCCATTCTTACATCACAGATTTTGTAACCAATTAGAGATCGCACTTAAACATGATCATACTTCAAATAATGTACTTCTTATAAGCTTGCATTTTTGAGAAATATAAATCAAAACAATTCAGAACAATTGATTATATAAGTAAATTTGACCTCATTACAACTGTTTGATACAAAATCCTTGACAAAGAACACTACATTTAAACTTCTGTAGATGGAACACCTTTCATACCTCAAAAAGTGTTCCATTTTAAAAGGTGTTCCACCTTCAAAAGGTGTTCCACTTCAAAAAGAGTTCCACTTCAAAAAGCTGTTCCACATAAAAAGGTGTTCCTCTTATGAGGTGTTCCAATATCAATAAGGAAACTTGGAGAAAAGCTTCCATCCAAAATTAATTCCCCAAAAAATTAATCATTCCATGAATCACATTGTTTAATACTAGTCTTCAATGAAAACTTCAAAAATATTTCTTCAAAAATAATTTGAATACCTCAAGTTTTGGGGGAACAATAAAATAAATGTCCTTAATGAGGAGACCTGTTTATGAAACATAATGTCAATACTGACAAACATAAAAGCAAAGTAAAAAACAAAGTTTGCGGTAATCAAATATACTGAGAGGTACAGCTGTAGTGATTAAAACCAAATAAACAAAATAATAAATCAATTGAAACAGATTGAGCAATTTACCAATGTGTTTTGAAATATATGAGTTAGACTAAGAGAAAAAGAAACTCCAAGACCACAAAAGTTGTTCATTATTATAAATTTGGATACACTAAAAAGACATAGCTTTTTACCTGACTGTAGGTCATTTACTTTTGTGATGAAGTCTTGTGGATTCCCCCTCATCACATATTCCAGTATTTTAAAGCATCTTTTATAGTCTAATACTAAGACCACTATAGCGTAAAAATACATAGCTCATTACCTGATTCTAGCTCATTAACCTTTGTGACGAAGTCTTGTTGATTGCCATCCGGTCTGTAGTTTTTCTGCCAATAAGTGGCCTGGTCGGTCAAGGAGAGCGGGATCTCGCTTTGGAAGGCTAAGTATAGTCTGGAATAATATACGCCATTATAGCACATCTAATTTAGATATCACAGATCTTTATTGAAATATAACATTTTGCAATTTAACAACTTATCAAAGAATATCATCAAATAAAAAAAGTTTATTTTATAGAATACAATTGATGTTTTGTTTCTTATACAGTAAATCCTGTATTTCTGAACACCTCTAAAATCTGAACAACTCTCAAAGTGAACACTTTTTCTGTCCCATTTCATTCATTTGCCATAGAATAGCATTGATAAAAACCTTGAAATGAGAACACCTGGCTGGTCCAAGAAGTATTTGGTAGGCCTATTTCTTTTTGAGAAAACACTGACACTTTGATATTTTATCACATGAACATTTAAAATGACTGACCACTTGTGGATTTGAAAATGAGCCTTAATTTTATATTGTATTGTGTTGTGTTGTATTGCATAGTATTGTATTGTATTGTATTATTGTACTTTATTGTTTTGTATAACTAGAATACTGTATTGTATTGTATTGCACTGTATTATATTGTTTTGTATTGTATTATTGTACTGTATGATATTGTATTATGCTGTATTGTATTGCATTGTATTGTATTATATTGTATTATTGTATTGTATTTTGGTTACTGCCATAGTTTGGTGAGCAATACCTCTATCATTGGTGTACTCCCTAATTTTATGTATCTTACACTCCTCAGAGGAATCCAGTGTTCTTTTATGTGCACCAATACACAGACATACAAGAACACACCACAGCTTTTTAAACGAGCTGTGAACAACAAGCTTAAATTTCCATCTTACCTTGCCGCAATCCCAGAGTAGAGTGGCTTTCTAAGGTCTTCCCATGATGCACTCAGCCAATCAATATGGAAGTTACTCTTAATTTCATTATGTTTCTGCGTCATGCCACTCGTGGCAACCTGTGTTGTTTGGAATATAGCCTCATCCACCTGAAATGTCACATTCTTATAAACAATGTCAAACAAAATGGGATTGCCTTTGAGGGAAATATGGGTCATTTTGGGTATTTAAGATATTGGCATGTTATGATCAGTATCAGGTCATCAGGTAATTACCCATGGAGGAATCACATCTTAAAATATGCCAATAACTTAAAGGGTGACGCATATCGTTTAGCAAATCGAACGCTCGTTTCTGGTGTTGCTTACCGTTTAGTATAAAAGGCCCGATCCCGGAATAATACTCAAGGGTTCACAGGTTTGATGTGGTTGTGTCAACACCTCTAACTGTTATATAGCATAAGTATATTATAGATCGTCACACATTTATAAAAGGGTGATTTTTATTTTGACAAATCAATTCCAAATTTATGGGTGAAGTTTCAGGATCTTCTATTTGTGTATAATAAGGAAAAATTGGCATCTAAATTTCCCCATAACGTAATAGCACACAGCTTGGCATATGAAATATCCTACAAATGAAACAAAGCAGTTCTAATACAAGGATTTATATTGGCTGTTGTACATGTACTGTTTGAACGCAATCACTCCATGGATAACATTTTCAAAATCATTATAAACGGATTACTTTATCTCAAAGACAATTTCAATCAACTGGATTTTACAGAACTCCCCTTATTTCTTAAAAATGGACTGATCCAGTTGATTCGCCTGGAGCCGCCATATTGTTTTTATACGGGATGCTTATCGGAACCCTTTAAGGGATATAGAGACCCATATGCATATAAATACTGTCGAAAAAATGGGACATATGGGAGAAAATGGGTCATTTTGGGTATTTAACATGTTAGCATGTAATTATCAGAATCAGGTCTCATATATCCATAAAAATCACATAAGAGAGGGAAATACCCCAGCATCAATGGATGAACCTCTAAAGGTTCATATTTACACGGAGATAAGGCTCATCCTTGAATTATGAGATATTCTCCCCTCTTGGAATCACATGTTAAATATATAAATAGTTTCATAAAGGTATATTCTATGATGTATGGCACATGACAACACAGCTGCTTATTTCTAAATATGTCTGAATCTTACATTCCTCCAATAGTTTCTGATGCTAAAATTGTTTGATTTTTTTGCTGAGAAAGTATTTGAAAGCAATCAAATCTACTTTAGCACTTATTAGTGCTTTAAAAGTAAAATTTGTCACCACTTGTCATTTGTTACAGACACCATGTTACAGATGCTGAACACCATCCACAAAAAAGTTGGAGACTATAACAATATGTCACCACTTCTGGTGGTGACATAAAATCACCAAGTCAATTGAATGCAAGGTAAAATAAGAATGGAGAAACTTATAAAAAAGCAGAAATGTTGTGATATATTAGCCTTGCCCAAGTCAATATTTTTTACTTAAATCAAGATAATGCCTTGGTCACATTTGCTCTGATAAGTTTTAAAAATATTTCATTACTTTGCTTTAAATGAAGCCCTTAAACAATTGACTGATAACAACTTAGTGCAAGGCTGTCATTAGCAAGTACATGTTGCCAGTTCAGAACTTGATTTAAAGTTAGAAGTGAAGAATAAACATTGATAGATTTCAGCACTTTATCATGAGCTATCAGTATTTTAAATAAAAAACTTTGTTAGTCAGCTGTATATAGTCAATCATTGAATATAAAAAATGAATAATCCTGATTCAATAAGTGGTAGTCTCAGAGAAGTTCTTTAGTACTAATTACTCAAACTATAACATTTTGATATCTTTAAAAACTTCAAACTTCATGATAATGCTATAAAAAATTGAGAATTTTTATTTCCAAAATTGATAGACTTACCTGCCAAATTCCGCCATTATAACCTGATCTGTACGTCTTCGTATCTTTACCGTCAAGAGATTCCACGAAAGCTAGACGACGTAGAAATAATTTATCATCAGGAAAGATGCAAGCACCCTCTATAATCTCTATAACCTCTTCTACGACATCTTCACCGGAAACATCTGCTGTCAAACTTTTGTCGATACCAAGTACACCCCCCTGCGGAAAATGCAATATATAATCGATATTCGTAATCAATATCAGTAATCGTATATTTACTAAATGCGATTATTCTTAAATTCAAATATTTCAATCATCATGTATTTCAATTTAACTAAATGTTAATCATTTCTGATTTTTTTTCTACTTTTTCAAAAAAATTCAAAATCTAAGTTTTAATTTATTTTAAGATTAATTTTTTCAAGTATTTATGTTGATTAATTGCATTTAATTAGTTTTTTAATTATTTGAACTTATTGCACAAAAATTAGAAAAAATGCATCTTACCAACAGTGCTATGAAGCACACGGCCAAGAACTTCGTCATATTGAAGTCCAAACAATGTAAGATAAAAATATCAATGTTAAATTCTTAATAAGTGTTTTTATCTGATGATTTCTTTACATATGTCATAAGATACAATGCCTGGTCAATTGGGAGAGCCCATTCTTTAAAGAAAGGGGGTGTTTAAAAAATAACAAAAAACATATTTTTAAATAAAAAAATAAAATAATACCCAAAAATGCAAAATCAAGTTTTTTGTGGACATTTTCTGTTTTAAACAAACATATTTTTTGCATCCAAATTAGTTTTTTTTTTATGAAACACAGACACTTGTTTTTATCTAAAACTAAATGATAAGTGACAGGATCTGAGATCACCCCTTTAAATGGACTGATCTGATTTGTTACATGCAAATGTATTTGTTATATTATTGACGTCAAGGACTTTGTTTTAAACAATGCTTTAAGTGGACAACATTTGGAGCACTCTCAAAAATTTTTTATACATAGATGTGGCAAACATACACAATTGATATCATTGGATTAATATAAGTTGAAATATCATTTCAAATTATGAGTTGCTCTTTTAACTGATGCGAGTCTGAATTGATGGGCTTTTTTACTTTTATATTTGGGATGTTTTTATATGTGATGTTGTTCTATAGAGGTGATAAAATATGTATAGTGTACTGAATTTGCTCTTATCATGGCATCCACTCTCCTTTGAAAATTTGCAAAAATCTTCAAATTAAATTTTCACCAAAGTACCAATAAAAGGGTATGGTCGTTTGTCATTTTAGTACTACATGTACTTAAATATGCCAAATTAAGTTAACTAAAACAATTACAAAGAACAAACAAATACTGTTGCAAAAATGATTGTTAATACATTCAGAATTTAACTAAAAATCTGAACATGACCCGAGCCCTTGGAACAACCTATCTGATTATTTACATATTAACTAACACGCCATAGAAACCGGCAAAAAAATGTTTGATGAGATGTATATGTCAAAAACACAGTCACCAAGTATTCGCTAAATAAAGAATTTGTAACTTTAAGGTACTTTAGTATTTGAACATGTCTCAAATAGACATTCACTGATAAGAAAAACAAAGAAAATTTGTAACATTTAAATCATGTTTGTTTTAAGACGTGATATTCAACATATAACAATGCATTAAAGATTTGAGAATTTCATGATTTATATGAAATCGACTCGTACAATCATCTCGTAAAGAGAATTTAAAAATTACGAGTCTATTGACGTCATTTCATATGCTTTGTTCAGAGGTCTGGGCCACCAATAAACTTAGTGCTTTTAAAGAAAATATTTTATTTCAATGATTAGATAAATAGAAATAATTAAATCACACTGTGTCTATTGACGTCATTTCATATGCTTTGTTCAGAGGTCTGGGCCACTAATAAACTTGGTTATTTTATTTCAATGATTAAATAAATAGAAATAATTAAATCACATGGTGTCTACCTGTTGTACATTATGAATTACTATTATGTCTCAAATTAAAAAAATTTGTAGTTATGTTACCAATTATCAATTTCAATAACATAGATGCGAGTAGGAAGTTACCAATTTCACCACCAGGTGGCTCGTTCAGGTCAAAAAACATGGCGGGTAGAGTAGAAAGTTCCCTTTAGCTTAAATTACATCTGTTTAATGGTTCAATTTTCATATAACCCTTATGTATCTAATAGTTATGAAAATTATAATATGTCTAGTAAAGGAAAATGTTATCTGTCCAATACAAGGAAAGATATTTCTCTTTTTGTGATTTTGTAACATGGGGTCTCTGGGGAATCAACCCGAACTAGAAGTCACATTTTCAAAACAAATTTAATTTTCAAAGTTAAAATACAATTTTCGAAACCATATTTCTAGAAGTACTTTTACACTTAGATTTCAAATATGACATCAGTTTGACTGAATTTTGAATATTTAATGACGTAAATCAAGATGATTTCTACTCGCACCTAGTCTATTAATTTTGTTACCAATACCAATTTCAATTATGTTACCGATTTCCAGTTTCAAAAATATACTTTTATTATATTGTACATAAAATTATTGGGGTTGAGCTGACTAAGGGTTGGGCTGACCAGTCTGGTTTAACTCAATTAGGTCGATTTGACTTAGGGTTGTGTTGACCAGGGAGCAAGTCATTTGGTACCTCCAAATAAACAACTTTTTGGTGTGAACAATTTTGAAATGTGTATGCAATTTCATATTTTTTATCAAGGCATTAACATGCAAAATGTCACCACCTGCTATTTCTTACAGATTGCCAAATGCCGAACAGCAACCACTGAACCTTGAACAGCATCCACAAAAAAGTTTGGAGACTATAACAATATGTCACCTCTTTGGTGGTGACATAACATGGCTTAAAAGTAATTTTGGAATTCTCAAATGGGTCCAGTACCCAGACAATTGTCATTGACACTACTGATAACATAAGTTATAATGTATTTTCATTTTGTTTTTATTTATGTCAAACTGAATCACTATCTTTGTGAGTAAACTAGAGATAATTGTATATATACCATATGTCATATGCAGTACAAGGGGTGAGCAAAAAGTAATTGAATGCATTTAACACAGATGGCTCAATATTGATTTTTTCACCAATCATCAATAATCATTACTGGCCCTCTGGACCTGTACCCCCTTTATGGTTATCTCAGTGGTCCCTTTCAGCTAACTGAATATGTATTACTTAAAATGATCAAATGAAGATCAAGATCAAGATGAAGATCAAGGAGATTGGCCCATTAAATATGTCTTTTGCCTATGTAGAATTGAACAGCCCTTGTATACCCTGTGCTTGTATATAGTTTGATAGAAATGCTATCAAGTCAGGAACTTAAAATACAACAGGGCTACAGTGTTTGGATAATCAAGGAGATCTGTAAAGTAAGGGCCTTTATAAGGGGCTCCATACAAGTCAAAGATTTAAGTCTTTTGAAAGAACAGTGGATAGTAATGTCCAAGTTTATCTATATCTGCATGCATCAAGTTCTGTATAAGAGCCATGAAGTTTGTAGCACAGCCAGGCAGAAGCGTGGGTGTCTCGCTGGTCAGATTATCTGGATTCTCCTGAAATACAAACATGTTTATTCCTTCAATGACTTTTTTTCTAGGTTCAAATTTCAGTCTTTCAAAAACACCTACACTTTACTTGAATCAAATAGAAATCACAACACATTCAAATAGAAATCACAACACATTCAAATACTGAGGTACAAATTAAATCAATTTAAGCAAAACGCAAATGTTGAGCTTAAAAGCAATTTTCTGTAAGAAACTTTTTTTTGTATCAAAAACACCCACATTTCTACTTGAACAATTCATAATTCATAGACTATCACCAAGGTACCATTAAATCAATTTAAGTGGTTAAAAGTTGTTTTTGAATGTATTGTTATTTACAATTTACTTGTTATTCATTTTTAGTTCTGCTTACTACTAATACAGGAAGAGAAATAACTGATTTCAATAATGCATCAATCAAAGTTTTGAGTGAAAAACCCTCATGGTAAAAGGTGGGAATTTTGAAAAAATAAAAATTGGGCTATCCAATTCACTACCCTGGGAGCAACCTAGTGCGTCAAGAGCAATCATAGCTGGTCAAATGCAGGTGCATAGTCATTACATCAGATTATATCATCAGATTACAAGGAATATACATTCCAAAAGTCACGACTCCCATGATGAAGTGCAATGTAAAATTCCGCTCCTGTGGACAATACTGCTTGACAAATTCCATGTGATGTCCTATTGATAATATGGTTGTCGCATAAATGTGTGTATGTGAAAGAAAATATATGTAGCGCCCTCTATATGAAGTGTTTTGTATTAAAAGACTTACCTTGATAAAAGCCCAGACATTGGTTAAGAGGAGGAACACTTTGAATGGAGACACATGATGGAAAAAATATATGTAGCGCCCTCTATATGAAGACTTACCTTGATGAAGGCCCAGACATTGGTCAGGAGGAGGAAAACTTTGAATGGAGATACATGACGGAAAAATTCAGCAATAAAACACAATGGTTGAGGAAGAAGGTTGCCCTGGAAACAAAACAAAAATAACCAGAACAACGGCAACGCCAAAGCGTAGCGAATCCCATCGAACAGCCATGGATGGCATTTTTGCAAACAAAGTATATAGCAAAAATGGTAGCCATTTTTCAAAATGGCCGCCTTCTTCCAAAAGTGTCATTAGACCATGTGCCATGCTTATAGTATTCATATACTAAATATGAACAAAATCGCTCCACTACTTTTCAAGTTATAGTAAAAAACATTAAAATGGCGGCCATTTTTCAAAATGGCCACCTTCTACCAAAAATGCCATAAGACAGTGTGCCGTGCTTATAGTATTTACATACCAAATATAAACAAAATCGCTCTACTACTTTTCGAGTTATAGTAAAATACGTTAAAATGGCGGCCATTTTGAAAAATGACCGCCTTCTACCAAAAGTGTCATTAGACAGTGTGCCATGCTTACAGTATTCACATACCAAATATGAACAAAATCGCTTCACTACTTTTCGAGTTATAGTAAAATACGTTAAAATGGCGGCCATTTTTCAAAATATTTTTCAAAATGGCCGCCTTCTTTCAAAAGTGTCATAGGACAGTGTGTCATGCTTATAGTATCCACATACCAAATATGAACAAAATTGCTCCACTACTTTTCGAGTTATAGTAAATTACGTTAAAATGGTGGCCATTTTGAAAAATGGCCGCCTTCTACCAAAAGTGTCATTAGACAGTGTGCCATGCTTATAGTATTCACATACCAAATATGAACAAAATCGCTTCACTACTTTTCGAGTTATAGTAGAATACGTTAAAATGGCTGCCTTCTACCAAAAGTGTCTTTAGACAGTGTGCAATGTTTATAGTATTCACAAACCAAATATGAACAAAATCGCTCCACTACTTTTCGAGTTACAGCAAAAATCGTAAAATAACGAGTAAAGGCCGTCATTTTTCAAGATGGCTGCCATGTGCTTCTTTAATATCTACATTTCTAGCTTTATTGATGTCCTATATCATTTTTTTACATCTAAAACATATTGCTATTACAGTTTACATATTGCACCTAAATTACTGTAAATTCGGCACTAAAATGGCCGCCATTTTGAAATGAGCGGCCATTTTAAAAATCGGCTTTCGAGCAGAACTTCTACCCCATAGGGTATATGTGTACAAAATATGAACAAAATCGGGCCAACGGTATTTGAGTTATTGCCCGGACGGACGTACGTACGGACGGACGGACGGACGGACGTACGGACGGACGGACGGACGGACGGACGGAGGCGTTCCCTATATCCCTCCAAACTTTGTTCGATGGGATAAATATGATTTCTCTCTAGAGTAAATGATCGCTTGTAATTAATGTCAATATTAAGCTGAAATAAAATGAAGCTCCAAAAATGACAACAAATTAATCATTATGATAAAGGATCACAATCAAACAATTGTGTACAAATGTCAAATATTTTCATTTGGTGATAGGGGTGGGGGGGGACTTAAATGTCAAAACAATGTTTGCCCTCCTAAGAATTTTTGTCATGATTATTATGTTTTTTTAACCTAGGAATAATCAAAATACAACAGGTCTTAAAATAGATGTCATTATTATTATAAATAAATAAATAAATATATTAACATGCAACCTCAAAAACATGATATAGTACTTACCTTGGCCATGAACTCAAGAAGTCTGTTAGATTCACGGAGATACTGCTCAGACTGGGGGGAATCGGTGGTGTTCTTATCTCTACAGGACACCCAGTAATTAACCTGAACAGCAACTAGTCCACGTAACAATGGAGAACTTTTAGCAATGGCTAGGTGATCTGAAATATAGAATGTATATTGTTTACAGGGTGGGCAAAAGGGGAGGACTCTTAGCAATGGCTAGGTGATCTGAATTATAGAATGTACATTGTTTACAGGGTGGTCAAAAGGGGAGAAAATATATAAAATGTATATTGTTTACAGAGTGGGCAAAAATGGCAAATGGCTCTCGGTAATTTGATGTATAAAATGTATAAACAGGGTGGGTAAAAAGGAGCTCAGTGGTTTAAAATACATAATATATATATATAGGGTGGGCAAAAAGGATGAATACAGCAATAGCTAAAATTCAAAATGTATATATGGGTTAAGCAAAAAAGAAAAGCAATGACTAGGTGTTCCGAAATACAAAATGTGATAATACAACGTGGGCAGAAAATAAGAATTCTTATATAGCAATGGCTAGATGGTCTGAAACACAAAATGTACATACAGGGTGGGCAAAAAGGAAAAAAAGAACACTTAGCAATGGCTAAAATGAAAAATTCATATGCAGGGTGGGCAAGAAGAAAGAATTCTTAGCAATGGTCAGATGAGTAATATTGACATATTTATTTTCTTTTTAAAATACAGATTGATTCTGCACATTTTAAGCTTTACTTACCAAATGAAATGAGTTCCATAATATCCCATAATATGGGTTTTGTGTCAAACTGTTTCTTGATGTAAAGATCTCTGAAAATGTAAATGTAAATTGCACATCAAATAGATATAGATGTCATCAACGTATTACTTAAACTGACTTACGCAGGGACAGGTTTCGAAAATCAACAGTTGACAGTTTAATAAAAATAATGAAGATTCTTTTCATGAAACAAAAATATTACACTGTACCTCTCTAGTGTCACCTTCATGAGGTCCTCATCAGGCCACGGGATCTCATTATAGCAAGCATCAGGGGTGACAAGTTCTACCATTAGGTTACTCAAGTGATGCAAATGCTCGCCTATAACCTGTGATGCACCCCCAGCTGACTCATTGTCTGTTCGTCTACAACAGGTAGCCCATAGCACCCGCAGTGCACATAAACGATTGGTCGCTTGATCATCCTATGAAAATGAAAGAATCATTGATTATGAGCGCTTATGGACAAATACTGCATAATTCTTAAGTGTGTTGCGATAGGATTTAAAAAAACAAAAATTTTCTTGTTTTTTCTTTTTTCTTAGTTAATTGTGAGATATAAATATAGAAGTAATTACGCCACATGGAGAGTCAAAGTCGAAGACTTTTTTTCCAAAAACTGGAAAGTAAAATAAAGTTATGTTCAATTGTACAATTATAGTTAAAGGGTGTACCTATAGTATTGACTATTGAACTGTATTGTATGATTTGTTTGCACTCTTTTTCAAGACATTTGTAAACATGTTTATATCTATTATTAAATTGTAATCAATACAAAAACACCATCAATCAAAGATTCGACCTTGAAGTTTTTGCAAACGGCAAAAGTTAATTAACGTGGTCTCTGTTTGTCTCTGTTTATTTGTACCTGAGTAAATGAGTCGTCTTGAGTGTGTACTCGTTTCCCCTGACCAATTATTCCACCGTGATGATGCGCTACTGTTGATTCACGCTGTGTTTTTTGGAGCTCTTCAAAAAGTGAGGTTGGAGTACTCTTTGAAGAGCTTGAAAAACTGGCTTGGTCCTGTTTGTGGCCAAATAGCGGAACATTTTCCTAAAAATGACGTGGAAATATTTTTATGAACACAAGGTAGTAACAGTGATAAGAAATGTGCAATAAAAGAACTAAAAATTTTTGATTTTAGACAAGAAAGTATAGACATTACACCCGAATACAGGCGGCAGAACCACTAGCTATGTAAAAGTACATATACATGTATATGTGTTTTTGTACCTAAATGCATACAAAAAATTCACCTTAGTTAGGAGCTGTGTAAGAAGTGTGCGCTGAATATATCTATATGCAGTTGTGGATTCGCTAAGTTTGGTCACATAGGCACACAACGTATCAGTATTCCGCTGCTTGTTTTTATAACCTAAAATAATTTGAGAATATTACTATTGCATAATTATGGCATAATAATGAGAGAGTTTTAGTCTGTATTTATTTAACTAGATACAGAATTCCGAGGAGTAGCAAATCCCATCATACAATACATATTTTATCAAAATATATGGCAGTAGTGTGTTTCTCCTAAGTAAATGTTTTTATGTAATATTTTGGAATGGTGCTTTTATTTGCTGATGCGGAAAATCTTTCCATGATATTTCACTGAGAACACACTATTAGTCTATTCTACATACCTTCATCAGTGTCCCCAGCTGTAGAGCATATTGAAAATAATGTTGCTACACAGGATCTGGCCAATGTTACCAAGGTAACTGTTTCTAGATTCCCAGGTAGATCAATCATATTGAGTAAGTGAAGACACTGTATGCCTGTTTCTAGATCCCCATCAGAGAAGAATGAGGCAAATGTGGCCATGTTTTTAATAATGCATTCTTTAAACTGGCACCTGAAAGAATATGTTTTCAATTCCAATTTAATTCATTAAACATGTATGCCCCCTGTAATGTCACTCAGCATGCAACCCTGTGGCACGTAAATTGTACCATGCTTTGAAAATGTCAGGTCTCCCTGACAATTTCATGATAAAATTTGACACAGCTATATTAACATCTCTGAAGGATCTAATGCCAAGAACACTTGAAATTGGAGATTCGTAATGTTTTACTTCATTTTGGACAGTATTGAACAGTTTGATCGGGTTGAACTCATGTCCGTGGACAAGAAGATTGACCTCCTCTATCTGGGCTTAATCTAGGAATGCTTCACAAAATGAGACCCAGAGCAACAAATTTTTTATTGACCAAATGCACTGTAATGATATTGAATATGACTAAAGTGAATAACAATAATCAGCCATAATTATTAATATGGCAACAGATATATCTGGAAATACTTTAGGCGGCCGAAAATTCAATAGCCAGACAATATTTGAAATGATGTTAAAAGCTCAACTGTACAAGCAAAAACCTGTATTTTATTGACAGTGTAGTGTTTTTGAAAAAAGCCTGTCAAAATCATAAAATTGGAAATGTTGATATAATATTCATTTCCCATGATGGAAATTGTCTCTAGAATAAATCTTGAAAATTTCAATAAGAATGGTTGTTCCATTGCAAATATAGAGTAAAACATGACTGCATGCATCATTCAACCTGTCGGGGGTACTATAAAAATGTATTAAAAAAGTCTAGCCATGCAAATCAAAACCATTCTCTACCCATGCCAATTAAATTCTATTTGGTAATACCAGGTCGTTCAATAATATATCATTACTTTCCACTCAACATACCTTGTAAGAGGAGTTTTTGATTCATTTTCCCATTTGACAATCGTGGTGAGATTCCTCAAGAGTTTATATACATCCGCAGATGAAGTAGTCCCTTTTCCCGTGAGTAAGGATAACGTTGACATGATGTTTAGTAAGACCGCAGGAAGGCGTATTTCTATCTCTCGTTGTAGCTGGATAAACACTCCCAGCTGAAGCAAATAATAGTTCTTTATCATTGTGTTAATTCCATATAGTAAATGCTATACAATACAATACAATACAATACAATACAATTCAATACAATATAGTTTGTTTCGCAACATTAGTGGAATACTGCAATATCAGTTATCATATAATTTTCAGTGATAACTTCTTATCGATTAGTTATCATTGTCGCCATAATAAGCGTAGTTTATTTTGACTCCAAAATTTAATGTTATTTTCTGACTAATTGAATGTTATTTTCTGACTAAATGAATTTTATTTTCTGACTGAAGTTTCTTAAATAACAAAACATTAACTAGATTATTTGCCTTTACTTGTGATTCGGTGGATATATTGAGTAATAAAAATGCCAGGATATGGTTAACGCACGCCAGTCCATTATACCACCCCACACATGCTAGTATCTGGATCAGCCAACGTTTACACCTGAAAGAAAACAAGAAATATTTTGTATATTTTGGAAATCATAGGATATTCATTTCTGCTTCTATGTTAATTATTAGCTGGTGAATTCTATGAAGTTCCCTAGAAATAGTGTTCAGTACTCTATTCATTAAATAGGAAGTTGTTAACTAAAGGAAGGTACTTAACATGAGAGTCAATGGGAGAAAATATTTAAAGTACAAAAAAGTTCACTGTATGATGTACATTACTATGTAGTCTGACTAGTATAAAGTACGCTATGTGCTTTTTAATTTGCAGTAAAACATGTCTTAGTGAACACCTGTCTCTAGTGAACACCTGTCTCTAGTGAACATCTGTCTCTAGTGAACACCTGTCTCTAGTGAACACCAGTCTCTAGTGAATACCTGTCTCTAGTGAACACCTGTCTCTAGTGAACACCTGACCATAAAGAACACTATTTCTCAGCACACGAACCAGTGTGAACTTCTATAGTGAACACGTACATAGCATGGCTTCATAGGTGTTCAATATATACAATACAATACTGTAGCGTTTTTAATGAACATTAGAGGGACATTAGAAATTGCCTCGAGTTATGATAAAAGTCAGCTTTATGAAAAGTAAACACTTTATACTAAAGATCAGTAGTGGATTAACTATCTTTAGATTATGAGATATTTACACATCAAATGGATTCTTATAAGCTTTATATCATTCATACTTGGGAAATACCTGTACATATGTTATCATTCCCCTCATATGAGCATTCTAAAATCAATGTTAACTCCACATCCGCGAACGACAAAACACATCAAAGAGAAATCCAGACACGAAACAATGAAAGAAAGGAAAGAGAAGGTTTTGGAGTACAATGCACTGTATGACCTCAGCTCAAAATTCACAGCAGATACTGACAATGTTGCAGTGCCGAACATCGTGCATTATATATGGGTCGACAAGGGGAAAGGAATTCCTTTTACATTTCTGAACGCTTTAAGCTTCTTTAGCGTCCACAACATTTGGAAACCACGAATAATATATATACATGCGAATCAGTTACCAACAGGCCCCTGGTGGCAGCTTGTTGAACTAAACATCGGGAATATCAAGCATATAAAGATTGACGACACACAAGTTAAGATTTATGGTAAAATTCCTCTTTACACTGAACATCTTACTGATATTCTACGACTTGAAATACTACAAGGTAACGTTTTTGTATATAGCATAATAAGAGGGTGTTATTAAGATCACCACTAGTGTCATGTCATTCTAAAAATTAAAAATTATTAAGGGTGATGTCATTTCATTCTAGGATTACTTGAAAGTATGAATATATTAACACAGATATCATATCAGGTCAGAAAACTGGTACATTTAATTGCTTCATACCATTTCATTTTTGCTCAATTGATGCATATACTGACACTGATGTCATTTCATTTTAGATTGTGGTGTTTATATTGACACTGATGTCATTTCATTTAAAATCATTGTAGTGTTTATATTGACATAAATGTCATTTCATTTTAAATTGTGGTGCTTATATTGACATTGATGCCATTTTATTTTAGATTGTGGTGTTTATATTGACACTGATGTCATTTCATTTAACATTATTGTAGTGTCTATATTGATACTGATGTCTTTTTATTTCCCATTATTGTGGTGCTTATATTGACATTGATATAATTTCATTTCATTTCAGATTAAGTCATATTTGTATCGTCACTTGATTATGGTGGTGTTTATATTGACACAGATGTCACTTCATTTCAGATTATGGTGGTGTTTATTTTGACACAGATGTCACTTCATTTCAGATTATGGTGGTGTTTATATTGACACAGATGTCACTTCATTTCAGATTACGGTGGTGTTTATATTGACACAGACATCACTTCATTTCAGATTATGGTGGTGTTTATTTTGACACAGATGTCACTTCATTTCAGATTATGGTGGTGTTTATTTTGACACAGATGTCACTTCATTTCAGATTATGGTGGTGTTTATATTGACACAGACATCACTTCATTTCAGATTACGGTGGTGTTTATATTGACACAGACATCACTTCATTTCAGATTATGGTGGTGTTTATTTTGACACAGATGTCACTTCATTTCAGATTACGGTGGTGTTTATATTGACACAGACATCACTTCATTTCAGATTATGGTGGTGTTTATTTTGACACAGATGTCACTTCATTTCAGATTATGGTGGTGTTTATTTTGACACAGATGTCACTTCATTTCAGATTATGGTGGTGTTTATATTGACACAGACATCACTTCATTTCAGATTATGGTGGTGTTTATTTTGACACAGATGTCACTTCATTTCAGATTATGGTGGTGTTTATATTGACACAGACATCACTTCATTTCAGATTATGGTGGTGTTTATTTTGACACAGATGTCACTTCATTTCAGATTATGGTGGTGTTTATTTTGACACAGATGTCACTTCATTTCAGATTACGGTGGTGTTTATATTGACACAGACATCACTTCATTTCAGATTATGGTGGTGTTTATTTTGACACAGATGTCACTTCATTTCAGATTATGGTGGTGTTTATATTGACACAGACATAATAGCAATGCGCCCATTATCCCCATTAAGACACTTTGGCCACACTCAGGGTATAGGCATGCTAGACAAGGGGCTTTCCAATGGTGTTATCCTTGCAAAACAAGGCTCTCCGTTCTTAAAGATATGGCATGAGGCCTATTGGACGTATGGACGCATACCCGACGATATCAACTCAACAGTGTGGAGGTATCACTCCATAGAACTACCTGGTACTTTACATAGCATATTCCCACGGATGATACACACGGAACAAACGGCACTCCTCGGACCGAAATATTTCCAATATGAAAACGAAACAATCAAAGAACGAACATGGCAGAAAAACTATTGCGTCCATATATGGAAGAGATTTACCAAGGTGCCTGAGCATCCTAATGATTTCAAATTTATATCGAAAACATCATTCGTCAGAGAGCTACTGGAATATGTGTGGTTTCAGCAAACAATCCCAATATTGAAGGAAGGCACGTATAAGATTGAAAGATGAGTTTTAGTTTTTTGAGAAATGTTTGAGAAAAGTCAACGACACTTCCAACGATAACGCTGTGAATCTCCGACAGCTAGCCAATAATACGCTCATTTAACATAGCCTTAAAATCCCTTGAATGGCCAAGTGAGAGATATATCAGTCACATAATTTATCACTACAATTTTTGTTCCACGTAAGAAAGAAATATGGCAAAAGCAAGAAAAAATGCTGTGGTATTAGAGACGCTTTTTATGAAAAATTTGAAGTTAATGTGAAATTAGACCCCAAAATGGGAATATGATTTCATACTGTGATTGCAAATGCAATTAGGCTAAATCATATTTTATACCATGTTCTATTTACTGGTGAATAACACCATGAAATATAATAGATATTGAAAAATTTCTCCTTCTGTCCCGTAGAAATTATCATATTGGCACTTATTATAAAACCCATATTCAATCCCTCCAAGTAAATAACCGTCCGTGTATTTGAATTTTCGCTAACTCGAACTCACAATATTTTCTGTCGAGTTAAGAGTTCCTAGAGATTGAAAATTGCCAATTACCTTGTGTCCGTAGACTCCACCAACTTCAGACATAGTCTCTCTACATGCGGCTTCAATGACGACAACAATACAATCTCCTTTTCGTTGTCATGCTTACTCAAGATCTGACGCTCCAAGTCTAACAGCACCTTACTCTGAAATGCACAGAAATAAAGATTCAACCCCATAGCCAGCTTTTGCCAAGGGGGGTTACTTTTCAAAAATCCCAGGGGGCTCGTGTTTGACAACTTTGAACCAAAATCCACTTGAAGTGTTCAGAATAGTGAAAACCGCATTATTTTGAAAGATTTTTTAGTCCGGGTTGGGTTTCGCTCGTTCTTCTGATTAATTTTGTCCTGTTACCAAAAATTACAAATGTACAGGAGGGTAAAGATGGGTGTAAATGAATTAACAAGACACACGGTAATAAATATCGCACTTAAAATTCAAAATGACTGCCATGAAAATTACACAGCATGCCCAGAATTCGTACATGTACATTAATTTTGTAAAATAACTCGAGAATTACCTAGAATACATAAACAAATAATTGCAAGTCTAGCAAAACTTGTATAATGCCTTCCATATTGGAATGAATTGTTCATTACAGACAGGTGTTCCATAATACAAGTTTTACTGTACATGTATTCAATAGTTTAATTACTCACCAGAATGATAGTGCATGCTCTCTGTACAAGAGGGTTCACTTGACAACCATCTCCTAAAAGAAAGAGAGAGATATGGGCTACATAGCCCACATTATCATATCCCATAAGACTCACTTGTACATGTCTAATGTGTGATTATTATGGAATTTGACACTTATGTGTCAGATTGTTATGGGATTTGACACTTGTGTGTCCTGTAAGATCACTATGGGATTTGACATTTATGTGTCAGCTTATTATGGGATTTCTATATAATGTTAATAATTTATGCCCCCTTTTAACCTCTTGAATACCCAGAGTGACGGATATATCCGTCACAAATGAAATAAGACTGGTGCCCAGAGGGACGAGAAAATCCGTCACAAAATTTTTCACAAAAATTGCTCTCATTTGAACAATTTTCATCCAATTTACACAAAAATTGTTTTAAAACGTGTAGAAATGATCTCTGCCGTCCAATATTACTCAGCTGAGCATCTAAAGTTGTAAATGTCAAAAGGTGGCAAAAAATGAAAAATTCTCTGGTTTCATGCCAATTTTAGAGCCTGGGATGCAAGAGGTTAAACAAAGTTTGGTGTATACTAAGAACATCCATATTTTAATCAAACTTTTGTTATTTGTTATCAGTGCTTTTAAACTCAGCTGTATTTAATAGGTAAATCATATACTGAACACAGTTTACTTGCACCAAGCCCCCCCCCCCCCTCTGGTCCCAGGTGCATGCATGCTGGGTGGGCAAAAAGGAGAAGGGCCTTGATGCGGGACTAACAAACATCTACTCTAATTCTAACATACACACACACTTGCTAAGTGTGGCTAAAGAAAAGAAAGCGCTTGATGCAGGACTAACACATATATAATCTTGAAAAAAACCTTATCCCCTATTCTTACATATACGACTGGCTAAATAAAAAAAATGGGCTTGATGCGGGACTAACACATATGTAATCTTGCATCAAGCCCTTATCCCCCCATTCTTACATATAGGACTGGCTAAATAGAAGATAGGGCTTGATATGCAACTAACACCCATCTCCTCTCGCATCAAGCCCTTATCTCCCCATTCTCAAATATAGGACTGGCTAAATAGAAAAATGGGCTTGATGGGGGGCTTGATGGGGGACTAGCACACACCATGACTTAACCTGTACCTTGTTGACTGGAGTTCAACAGAAACATGATGATTTCAAATGTTTGGTCTTCACACTTCATCAACAGATGCACTAACAAGTTCAACAGACTGAAAAATAACATAACAACTGAAGGTAAGCGATTTATATCAAGGCATTAACATGCTAAATGTCACTACCTGCCATTTGTTACAGATCCAAAACCCAAAATGGCTATCATTGAACACCAACTGCCTAACAGTCAACAAAAAAGTTGGAGATTATAACCATATGTAAAGGAATGATATGAAACAAAAAGAGACAACATGAATACGAAAGTTAGGAAATTTTACTGTTGAGATCTGGTTTTATCTTAAACTAGCCCCTGTCTTACCTATTGATGTCCTGTTTATTCTTGGAATGCCAATAAGTGGACTGCTGACAGAGCATATTTAGATTATGTGGCGTCACTGAAAACAAATTATGTAAAATTCTAATACACATTCATACATCTGACAATTTAGCAGACTTAAATTATGTATGTAGCATCACTGGAAACAAAGTACGAACAATACATACAGTGCAAGTGATTACTATCGTAATTTTCTGTTGAAAAATTCAAAATGGGAGACAGACAGACACATGAGCACCCATAGCACAAGACAACAATAATAAGTACTTTGAAAAAGTGCAATAAAAACTTTTCCTTCATGGATTGGTCACTTGTTTGTGGGCCCTTGTTTATTTAGATCACATAAAATGATGTTTTTCATGAAATATAAATTTTATACTAAAATAAATGCATATCTCAGAAAATTTGATTTGAGATACATAATTATAACTCAATATTCCCCCTTTTGTTGACAAGACAACTTACATGCAGTGAGGAACTCTGTAGATATAACCCTCAGAAGCAATGGAGACATAGAGGCCAAATGGAGCAGATAGGGCACAGTCATTATCTGCATAGAATCAGGGTCCGACTCTATACTATCCTGAAAAACACACAAATAATGTACAGGGTGGTCCAAAAAAATGGGACACTCGAATTTCAAAATAAATATTGATTTTTTTTAAATACGAGTGTCCCATTTTTTGGACCACCCTGTATATACTAAAGTTTATTCTAATATATGATTCTGAAACGTTATAAATATTTTCATAACTCATGGCTCAGATAGACAATACTACAGTAGAACCTGTCCAATCCGAACACCACTGGGACCAGCCAAAAGTGTTTAGATTAGCAGGTGTTCATATTTCAAGGTTTTCTTGATATGTGAGCCTATGGGAGATAACAAAATTGGGACTGAGAGAGAAAGGTGTTCACATTGACTGGTGTTTGAATTAGAGTTTTATTCAGATATACAGTTTTCACAGTACTGTACACTCCAAATATGGATTAAATATATTTTATCAAAAGCCTATCCTGATATCAGTTATATGCAAATTGTTCACATTTTTCACACTTTAGTGACATCCCCTTATTTCATTTCACACATTACAGTATTGTACTAGTTAATTCTAGCCAGTAATAGCCTTCCAATTACCTTAAACAACTGCAACAATGCTGTTTTAATGTTGTGTCCATGCTGCTGTGCCAAGTGACCCAATATACCAACAACTGATGGCATTTTAGGTAGGTTTTCTTCAGTTGCCATAGCAACATCTGCTGATTTGTTTCCATGGTAACAAAAATCTTTGAGTCCACATGAGAGAACTTTAGTGATGATTGTATTGGGAAAACATGACCTATAAAATAGGGGAAATAAAAGTATATTAACCTTAAAATAGTGGTATGAGTAACTTAGTGAAACCATGAAAGTATTCAAAAGACAAGTCTCGGTTTGGAGAATGAAGTTCATCAGTCTACAGGGCTAATAACTTTTTTATGAAAAATGTAGAAATACAATGTAACACCCAAATTAAATTATGGCTATTCAAAAGAGGCCATTTAAATCTACAATATGTAAAAATATCAAAATTGTCCAAAGCAGGCATAACATGCAATAGACTGATGAAGTTCGTTCTCCAAACTGAGACTCGTCTTTCATTTTGATCAAATATTTCTTAGAGGCTTCAATTGAGTTCATATTCAGTCAGATAATCCTGGCTCTAACCCAGAATTCAATCAGTGCATGTTCATCATTTGCAAATACGTTTAAATTGAAGTGCTAAAATTCAGATACATACCCTATATGAGCCACTACCCAGTCAAAGTGAGGTGAATGTTTCACTGAGGCCTCTAGTAATTTGTTAATGCTGCTGTCAGGTGAGCCACCAACCCTGCCAATATACAAAGTCAATATTACATTAATATATTAACTAAAACACTTCATTTACATATTAAGACAGGGTACTTTAAGACAAAATGTTGAAATTGTGCATGCAGCCGTTGTCATAGAGAGGTATGAGTATGAGCATGTGAGGCAAGTGCCTCACAAATATTTCACTATTTTGACCTCGCCTTATTTCAGATCCTGGCTACACCCATAGAAATGACTGAAAATGGTTGCAAATGTAACATTAGCTGACTGGGTCACAAAAACAGACCAGCAGGCTATTACTTGTGATTCTATCTATTATCAAGAATATCTTATCTGTTTATGTTTTCATTACATTAGCTTACAGTATAACGAGCTATAGTGGTTTCTTAGTCTGCGATATGATTCTTCTTAGTTGTCACATAGAACTTAATAAACTAAATGATCTAACTCATGATTTATCCCTTTAAATGCACTAATTGACCCTGTGTATTATCATCAAAATGACATTCTTAAATATCAAACAACTATTAAATTGATAAAAGAAACTTGTTTCACATTTTTTAAACCAGATCCTTTGGAGCAGATTAAGGTTCAAATGGGTACATATCCTTTAATTACTTTATTACATATTTTTGGTCAAATCAAAAGCAAAAATGCATTCAAATTATATTCATAACTTAATTTCTCTTAAGTAAGCATTTAATTGGTCCTGAAAAGGACTGTTTGGTGTGTAGAACTCTGTAAGTAAAGTTGGCTTCTTTTCCAGACTGCATCATAGTTGAAGTTGAAGAAATTCTGAGCCCAAGACTGCTGCTTCACCCTTAAACCATATCAACATCAGAGTAGAAGGAATATTCAGATTCAACATCAGAATCATGAGACTCCATTTGGTCAACTTTGCTCTTGAGCTCTTCAACTACAGCAGCCATCTCAGTTGCATAGTGGTAGAACATCATCTTCATGTTGCTGAGAGTGGATAGTTGTAGTCGCAGGGAGTAGCGCTGAGCCTCTCTCTGGTTCTGCTTGGCTCGCTGGTAGCGGATCTCCAAATTCTTGGCTCTGTCATCAATCAGTAGCAGTTGGTCACAGGCTCTGAGGAACTTTCTGTATGCAACGTCAAGCTGCTCAGTGGTTTGCTCCCGATCAGAGTATTGTTCTCTCTCTGGCACTTCAGATTCTTGCATAGAGTAGGAATCCATTGTGGTTGTGTGTTTAGAGTTCCCAGCCTATCGTCAGGCGCAATATTGGTCAATATTTGAGGTCTACTTTTGGTCTACTCATGAGGCGTACTTCTGGTCTACTTTTGGTTTTTCTCTGTGTTAAATCCCCATAGTCAGGCGCGTTTCAAATATTTAAATTAAGCCAAAAGTAGACCAGAAGTAGACCTCATTTAATGACCTCATCAGGTTTATCAGGTCTATATTTGAGGTCTAGACCTCATTTAAGCCTCAACTATCTGTAAATCAGGTCTATATTTGAGGTATACTTTTGGTCTACGCCTTATTTGAGGTTCACTATTGGTTTTCAGGTCTACTTCTCTTCTGCTTTTGGTGTACACCTTACGTTAAGGCACATTTCAATTATGGAAATTAGGCCTGAAGGTCTACTTTTGGTCTAGACCTCATTTCAGGTACAAGCCTCATATACCTGTAAGTAAGGTCAGGTCATGTTTTGTTGTTTCAAAGTAGAAAAGTACTTAGTACATATCAGTACCCTCCATAGTTGTTAAATAAATTGCATTTATTTTGAATTGCTGGGTTGTTTTCGAGGATTAACTTGTCTCATGGATAAGATACAGATCTATGAACACATTAGAAGGATGAAGCAAAAATTACACAGTATTCTTATATAAATTATATGTAGGCTTCTAATATGATGTATTTTTGTTTCATCATTTAAATTTAACAATATTTCAATATTTTATTATTTTCAGACATCCTTCTTTAGGTTTCCCAGATTTTGATTATTTTTTTAAGTTCTGATAAAAACCATTAATAGGGAGTTGAAAATACAGTTTACTGGTCTGTTAACCTAATATATTATAATCTGTCTCCTTCGTGATTCTGACAAAATACTACAGTAAGTGTGGCTTTTTCAGATTTATGTTTTCTAAGTTTTTAAAAAAATGTTTATCAGGTCTAGATTTGGTCATTTTATAAATGTTTAAGTTTTTAAGGCGCAGTTTTGGTCTATACGCCTGTCAGTGAGGTCTATTCTAAAATGTTCTTAGTTTATCAGGTCTAGATTTGGTCATTTTGAAAATTGTTCAAGTTTTTCAGGCGCACTTTTGGTCTATACGCCTTACAGTGAGGTCTATTCTAAAATCTTCTAAGTAAATGTGGTTTAGATTTGGTTTTTAAGGCGCAGTTTTGGTCTATACGCCTGAAAATAAGGTCTATAACTGGAATTAGTGTGAGTAAATGAGGCTAGGTTTTGGTCTAAGCCTTAAAAATACCTGTAAAAGAGGCATACTTTTAGTCTAGACCTGAAAGTAAGGCGCATTTAAGGTTAACTTTTGGTCTACGCCTCAAAAACCTGATGATAGGCTGGGTTGTGATGTGATTGCTAGGCAAGTCAGATCAGTAATGACTTCAACTTGACTGCAAACAATATTTATATCATTTTACAGCATACTAATCCCACTTCAAAAACATTGACATCAAGCAGTTTAAAACATCAAACCATTGTCAAACACTGACATCAGACAGTTTAAAACATCAAACAAACATTCCAAACAATGACATTAGACAGTTTAAAACATCAAACAATTATGTCAGACAATGACTTCAAACAAACATTTCAATCAATGTGATCAGGCAGTTTTAAACATCAATCAGTTCAAATATTGATACCAGGCTGTTTTAAAACTTCAAACACTGATATCAAACTTCAATCAAAACAATTCAAACATTGACATCAGACAGCTAAAAACCATAAACAAAAGATTTCAAACATGCATATCAAACAGTTAGACCACTAATCTCAGACAGTTTATAACATCTAACACCAACCTTAAAAATTTGAGAAAAACTATTGTTGGCAGACATTTTAAAACATTGATATCAAATTGTTTTAACTTTTAAAAATTTAAAACTGCAAAGTAATAAAAAGTCTAAAAAGCTGTTTGAAAAAAAATCTCAAACAATGACCTTGACAATGAAGATCTGAAGAACAAACTGAATTTATAGGTTGGAACTACAGGATTATGGATGTCATATGTAAGCGTGAGGCCAACATTTTAAGAATATAAAACATTCAGACTCTAAAAACAAGAGAAACTGAAATATAGTATGACACCCTGGATTATATTTCAAAATGTTCTTTACAAACCCAAAATTGATAATAAAACATTTTAAGAAGAGACAATTCAAAAACTTAATACTCTATTAAAACAAAATTAAATGAATGTGAAACTCTTTTATCATTTTCATTTAAAGTACAACAAAACTTGATGAGTAAACGAATTTTAATCTTAAGTTGATATTGTTATTTCCACTTTTTACATGTATGATACCTCTACCCTGTAGTCTGCAAGTAGAATTTGAGCAGACTTGGCTTGCTCTGTTGGAAGGAATAAATGATTGCAATAGACCGCAATGAGTTTTTTTTGTTGAAAGCCAGATAACATGTCATTTGCACTCCTGGGCTTTTTGTTCTTTTTCTTAATACCTGGGGGGAAATCTCATTACCTATTGATGCACTAGCACTGCGGGCGATTCAAAACACAGTACTTGTCTCTGGTTAACACTTTTTGTAATTAATTTCTCATAATTTATTTCCTAATACTTTTTGGGGTTTTCCCAATTCGGCCAATAAATATCCTTACTTCTTTATTGCAGTTTATGATGAAATTTGTTCATCAATCTCTATATTTATTTAATAATCAGTAAAGCCTGAACTTGGAAAGGGGTGTACATTTTAATATAAATATTTACATTCTGTGCAGAAAACAGGTCAACAAAGAGGATTTTTGATGATCAACTATTCTTCAGAAATACACACAATCAAACATACATTACAATTATATTCATAACTTAATTTCTCTTTTGTAAGGATTTGGGGGTCCTGAAAAGGACCATTTAGCAAGGATTTGAGGGTCCTGAAAAGGACCATTTAGTATGTACAGCTCTGAAAGGAAGTTGGCTTCTTCTGACTGTCTCACAGATGAAATGGTAGAAACCCTGAACCCGAAAACTGGAGTCTCAACTTTGAACCATATCATCATCAGAGTAGAAACAATATTCAGATTCAACATCAGAATCACGAGACTCCATTTGGTCAACTTTGCTCTTGAGCTCTTCAACTACAGCAGCCATCTCAGTTGCATAGTGGTAGAACATCATCTTCATGTTACTGAGAGTGGATAGTTGTAGTCGCAGGGAGTAGCGATGAGCCTCACTCTGTTTCTGCTTGGCTCGCTGGTAGCGAATCTCCAAATTCTTGGCTCTGTCATCAATCAGTAGCAGTTGGTCACAGGCTCTGAGGA